GAATTCTGAACAAAACTGTTTGTTCATTTTTGCGGAATGGCTGTCCCTGATTTTATAAAATTAAAAAACTGACGGCGACGCCCATACAATGGCGCTTGGGGAGCGAGTTGTTAAGGTTTCGCGCTTGGTTTTTTAATTTATAAAATCAGGGACAGCCTTCCGCAAACGAACAACACGTCTTGTTCGAATCATTTCTCATCGAATGAGGTGGGTTTCAATCATTTTGCCGTGACCCAAGGCACCCTGTTAGGACTAACAATGCACTTTCGTAACGTGGGCGAACGGTTTTGAGGCCTGTAGCGCACTAATAGGAAAGGCTTGGCCCCTTCCAGCCGGCTTATCGTACCCTTAAAATAAGACATATTTGAGCGTCAATAGCATCGAATAGTAGCAAGAAGATCTTGATCGCCAAGTGCTTATTGTTACGAGGGGTGCAGCCAGCCCATCCCAATTGGTCAGTTGCACTGGCTGGCCAGTTCCGTCCAGTGCAGTCAAGTGGACTGGGGCCCATCTGCCCAAATGGCCACTTCTCCTCCCGGGCCTTGCTTCTGCCTCTCCCCGCACAAAAACGTCGAAACGATTTGGAACGGAACGCCGAGGGGGGGCGGCTTGGAAGGGCCGCACACCTGTTTGAGGAAAGTAATATAATTTGAGGGTATCGGGGCGACCGGAAACGGGCAGTTTTGTGACTTTTTGATACACTGTTTTTGGCGTTCAAAATTGTTTTAAAGGTACTCTTTGTTTGGTTCCGCCGGTCCTCCGGGAAAACGGGGTTGGGGTGGCCCGCCGCGGAGCAAAACGAACCTGGGCCCCTTGCCCTCGGCAAGCGCTTTGGCCTTGCCCTTGGGGGGGGGGGCGGGGGGGGGGCGAAGGGCTATGAAGGGTCCGCAAGCGGCGGCGAGGGAAAATTCCGACTGCGCCGGGTTTTTGAACGGGATTTTAGTGTACCTTTAAGCGGTACTGAAAAATCGTAGGGATATTTGAAGAAAATTACCATGTAAAAAGCACGTAAATTTTTGGTTCTCCTACTGTTTTACCCGCGCCAATTGGGAAAACAGATACAATCAAGACAACACACGCATTAAAAAAATGTATTCAATACTACAAAATAAATAAAATGGTGTTAAGCCTTATGTAGATAGTAGACGTGAAATGAGAAGAAGCGGACCTTGCTTTTGAAATCTTGAAGCAACCTCCAGCTAGAAACGGTAGCTCGTCAACCTCCAAGCCTTGAATAAAATGACAGCCGCTTCATTTAGGAAAACTGCCCTAGAAACGATAACGCTGTGAAATCCTCGAAACCGCACACAGATGGCCCCAAACCCCAGCAAAATCCGCAAGGGCAAATCACCCGGGTCCCAAAAATTTCACAGCCCTCCATCTGAAGGTGAGAAAGGGAGAGCGGGAGAGAGAGAGAGAGAGAGAGATAGTGAGAGAGAGAGAGAGAGAGAGAGAGAGGGAGAGAGGGAGAGAGTGAGAAATAACTGTTTTTTCATTGCGGTCGTACAAGCCGCAAACAGGCCAGCTGTCCTTTCAAGAGAAAAAATGAGGAGCATCAGCTTTTGGTGCTAAAAGACACGGAGAGAGAGAGAGAGAAAGACAGAGACAGAGAGAGAGAGAGAGAGAGAGAGAGAGAGCTCGGGCTTTACTCGACTCGACCTCGCGGGGCTTTCCGGGGCCCTCCTCACACTTTGACGACCTGGGAATTATTACAGCACCTGTGGGGTGGGGAGCTGCTTTGAGATCCGATCGGGGCGGCGGGTTGGGACTCACTCTACCACCACCACCTCGACGTGAATCACACCCCGGCGGCTTTTGGGCTGCGCTGTCCGGAGAGGGAAATTAATGGATTGGCGAGGGAGTATAGTTCCAGGAGATCATGGATTGGGAGGGTAGCAATAGCGCATCCGCCCATTTTCACTCAAAGCGGGACCGGAGCGTATCGGAACTCTGCCGAATTAAAGCTCCTAGCCCGGCTTAGGGTGAGGCTTTGGCTTAGGCTTAGGGTTAGATTTACGCTTAGGCTTAGGCTTCGCTTTGGCTTAGGTCTACGCCTAGGCTCGGGCTTAGGCTTAGTCTTAGGCTTAAGCTTCGCTTAGGCTTAGGCTTAGTCTTCGGCTTAGGCAATAGCTTAGGTTCTGCTTAGGCTTAGGTCAAGGCTTGGCTTCGATTAGGCTCAGGCGCAGGTTTAGGCTTCCTTTCCCCCATGATTTACGATCTCCTCTCTAAAAACCAAGATTCTTGTCAGACCCCCAATCACTCGATGCATCTTCCTTCCCCGGAAAAAATCTGACCCCACCCGCCTCGGCGAGAGGAAAAGCTGCCATCGCTCAGCAAGTGAACATGTGTTCCGCCGTAATCCCCCGGATATTACGCTTCCGTCTTTAGAGGGAAGAATGGGGTTGCGAAAATATGTATAGTTTAAGGTATCACTTTTTCTGAGCAAACCAGTAAAAATCAGCAGTTTTTGAAATTCAACCTACCTGCTGCAGGAGTTTCCGCTGAATATTGAGAAGAAGAAGAAGAAGCCGAGGCGGATGAAGCCAAGAGTCCAAATGCCCTCCTCCTCCCCCTCCCGTTGGCCCGAGTCACAAATTATGGGCCCACAAAAAGCCATCCCCGCCCTCATCTCATCCCCACTGATTGATGAGATTTTACCCCCCCCCCCCCCCCCCGAAAGTGTCATATGCCCCCCGGGCTTGATGGACAAAATCAAATTCGACGTCTTGAGGGGTGCCCGGGGTTTTTTTTGAGCACAAAAAGCAGGCATGACGAGAATTGGGGGTACGTGAGGGCTAGGAATAGCTATCCAGCTGAGTGAAAAAGCTAGGGAGTAAGATGAGAGACCGGGGCGATTCCCAGGCTTACTACGGTAGTTGTGCAATCGCCGATCGGCGGGCTGTTGCGCGAGTTTTTTGCTTCCCCGCCGGAAGTAACAGGGTCTGGGAACGCCGAATACTCGTCGAAAAATGGTCAAAAAATGAAAAATAGTTTCCGGGTAAACTGTAATAAAGCAGCCCTTACCTTAAAGTTCGGTGAAATGCATTTAAAACCCAAAAATCCAAACTACTGAAAAAGCTTTTGTTAAAGGGCTCCACCATTCGATCCCCTCAACAAATTGGCAAACCAACAGGCAGGCCGCCCTGGGGCCCCCCGTAACCGTTGCTTGCCGCGGCATCCTTTAAAATCTCGCTTCGATAATAGTGCGTGCAACCTTTCTTCTAGTTTTTCGTGCGCCATATTCAAAAACGTCCGCCTTTTGCATTTTTTTCACTTTAAACACGCGTTACCCGTGTTTTTCAGGGCATCCCAATTTTTTTTTGAATTATTCCCATTTCCTTTAATCAAATAAAGTTTGTTTCCTGTAGACAACATTGCACAATTCTGAAAAACTCCATTTTCCGCCTTTTGCCTTCAAACGCTCTCCCCGGTCATTACGCCACGAAAAGGGCGCCCAGAGTGTCGATAGGCGCGCCTAGTAGCCCCTCGCGACCCCGAAATTCCAAGTTTTGAAATCTAAAAATCTTTTTGTATTTTCGTATCTCTACTTTTGCAATAAAAACATACTTTCCAGGGGTAATGGACCGATTGGAGCCTCTGCAACCGCTTGACGCAGATTACTACGTTGGTGATTATGCGCACGTGCCGATCGAAAGTGACAATGACTCTAGGTAATAAGTTTCCGCGGTTATTTACCTATTTTCAGTTCGGACGATGAGCTGCAAAACGAGCTGAAGCGATTAGCCGGGATACCGAATTGTGCTCAGGCGAAGAAGGAGAAAGGTAAGGCTTGGTTTCTTAACTTTTTATTAGTTTTCAGAACGCAATGAATTTGTCGACGAGATGGAGAGCGATTTGGACGAGAGTATCACCGAATATGCCCGGAATCACATGGGCGGGTCGAACCAGAATCTTGCACAGGTTTTTTTTAACGAGTTTCCTCTTAGAAATATATTTTTTTTAGATAGAAGCTGCGCCGCCGTCGCTCGCCGACCCGGCCGGCGATATCGAAATGGGCTTGACTTCTCCTGGTAAGGTTTTGTTTTTGAAAAAATCGGATTTTTAGGCCCCTCGAAATCTGCACTAAAGTCAGCGGCACCCGCCAGCCCGCAGCTCTCCAAGAAAAAGAAGAAGGTCACAATAAACGAGGACGTCGCTATGGAGGGAGATGATGAGGAGCCGCCATTGGAGGAGGACACGACGAATCCTATTAAGAAAATGTTTAACGAAAGCGTCAAGCAGGTTTATAATGTCATTTTATTTTTATTAAGATTTTTAGGCAAAAGCCGAAAGGCCCGATTTCTACGATTCTGATGAGGACGAGGATAATGAGCGCTGGATAGCCGACCAACGCCGCAGGAGCAAGGGGCAGGGCTCGTCGAAAATGAAGGATTTGAACGAGAAGCAGAGGAGGGCTAAGGTAACTGTTTTAAGGCGTTTCAAAAGTCAAATTTTCTTCAGGTTGACGACGGGTCTGACGCCGTTCTTTCGTGCCCCGGTTGTATGTCGCTCATCACCCGGGATTGCCAGCGACACGAGTTGTATAAGGATCAATACAGGTAGATTTATTTTTTGTTTTGAAAAAATTATTTTTAGAGCAATGTTTGTCGAAAACGTCGAAGTCCTCGACGAGCTGATGACGATCGAGGCGACCGGAAAAGCGAAGCGAAACAAGCGCAAGAAGGCGAGAAAAGCTGGAGTTGAGGTTTGTACCCGCAAAACCGTTTTTATTATCCTTCTTTCCAGCCCGAAGCCACCACCGAAGATCTCTTCTACGCCGTTGTCTGCTCAGTGTGCCGGACTTCCGTCGGTGTCGCCGATCTCGAGGAAGTGTACCATTTTTTCAACGTTCTCGCCGGTTACTCTTGAGCTGTGATTTTTCTTTGTTGTCATTTTGCATCAATTCCGGTGCCCAATTTCTGCCCACGATCTTGTTTTTTCAGTTTCTGTTGATTTTGACGTGATAGACTGATAAAGTACATTGATTTATATACATTTTATTTTCCATAATTATAATTCTGTACAGCACCCGGGCAGCCGCCGTATTGATTGACGTATTGGACGCTATTGCCATTGACACAGTAGCACTGGTACCACCCGCCGCTGATGCTGACGGCTAAAAATAAGACATTTACGCGTTTTAAAATTCAATATAAATGCATTTCGTAGAGTAAATACAAATTTCTTACGAGTGCAAGTTCCGTAGTTATAATAGTTGTTATAATTGTAGTAGTTGTTTTGATAGCCGTATCCACCATATCCGTAGTAAGGACGGTAGCCATAACCATAACCTGAAAATTTGGAAAATTCAAGCTAATATTATTTTTACTACCATAAGGACGATAGCCACCGTATAGCCCCAGAAGTCCTAGGCCGCCGAGACCACCACCTCCGTAGTAGGGCCGTCCTAAAGGTTTGGATAAAAATAGGAGGTTTCTATCTCCGTCTCTCTCTCTCTCTATCTCTCTCTCTCTCTCTCTCTCTCTCTCTCTCGACATACGGTAGTAGCTGCCTCCTCCCCATCCTCCGCCACCTCCACCCCAGTGATGCGGATGATGGTGCCAACCTCCGCCTCCCCATCCTGAAAAGAAGAGCGAGTTTTAACAGTTACCGTAGCGCGAGTATTACCCCCGTGATGGTGATGGCCCCAGTGGTGCCCACCTCCTCCTCCACCCCAATGGTGACCGCCGCCACCTCCCCAGTGATGGCCGCCACCTCCTAAAAAGCACAAATTTATAGGCGGAATGTGTGGTGAAGTGTACTGCTTATACTAATAGCCGTTTGATCGGCTAAATTTAGCTACAGCTTTGGTCTAGCGACTACGGAAAGCTTGTAATTACCATTTCATCGTGTTTGTAGTTCAAAGAGCGACCAAAGGTATGATTTTGGGGGTGTACGCTTTGGTAATGCCATGGTATTACATAGCCGAGCTTGTCTATACCATTAATATGCTTCTAACTAACCCCCGTGGTGCCCACCACCTCCATGATGGCCGCCACCTCCGTGTCCACCGCCATGCCCGTGGGCTTGAGTGTAGAGATCTGAAAAATGGCTTACAAGGCATAGGTTTTGGCCGTTGGCCTACGCTTAGCTCAGGCTTAGGCTTAGCTCAAGCTTAGGTTTAGGCTGAAGCTGAGGCTAATGCTTGAAACGTCGCCCTAGACTCACCAATACATGTCGAGATCAACAGGAATGCAAGCAATTGAGCACCAGATACCATGGCAGATTCTAAGAAAAAGACCTTAGCCGGCCGGTGGCCGGCTTGCCGCCCTAAAATAGACCGAAACTAGGGCCGATTTGGCTAGGCAGCGTTTGGCGAATCGTCCAAAGATTCGGGCAATCAACTCTTTGCGGTGAGAACCTGATCTTGTGGAGCACGAGCGAGGTGGTCAGCAGAGCTGGAGTCGCAGCTAGAGCTCGTTTTGTTGATTTGGGCAAAGAACAGTTCAGCGATGGAGGTTTGTAGGAGGGTCTGGGTATGGTTTCTCGCTGTCTCTCTCTCTCTCCCTCTCTCTCTCTCTCTCTTTGCCACGATGATCCTGAGAAAAATGTTCTCGGGCTCGGAAGATAGCCCTTTCCTCCTCACATTGACCTTTGGCGAACTAACCCCCCGTGCTAAAATACAGATGAAATGAAATCCCGTCTAGGGTAGTGCAGAGTAGCATATCGTACTCATGGCATGCAGTGTACTACCAAATGCAACTCGCCAAATCCGCCTGCCATCCGAGGCTAGGTTGGCGAATTTACAGATTCACTTTCAGGGCAGAGGAGAGAGTGAGGATAAAAATAAACCTATAATTGGGCACCGGTAAATACCTGGTTTACAGCGGTTTTCGCAAGGAATTGTTGATGGAATGGAACCAAAAACAAAAACATGATTTTCCGGGGGAATAGGGGCTCGGACCTGCGGTATGTTGTAATGATGAGTATAAGCTTCTGATAGTGTCGCGCCAGGAATACCGTAGCCTGGGCGGAAGATACTAAAAATTTTTGCCATTATTCAGAGTCAAGCGATGGAAACTGTTCTCTTCTTTTTAATTAACGAGCGCTTAAAATACATTACTTTAAAGACTCGGCAAAAAAATGCTTATTAACCTTTTTCGCATTTTTCAAAAGCTACTTGTTAGTTATTACCTATCATAACCGGTTATTGTAATGTTTTGAATGGCTTCAAGGTGTTTTCTCGGTCATTTTCTATCGTTGAAGAGAATTGAACCATAATCCGGACAGGATCATCCTTACACGTCAAAATCCCGACAGCCAACCTCCCGATATCCAAACTCCCGATTACGCGCATGTTCCCAGCCAAAATCCCGGCATATTTCCGCCCGTTTGAATCCTTCCTTTTCAGCTGCTGTTTTCCAAGTCTGGATTTTGGCTGTCGGGATACTGGCAGTAGCGACTTTGGCTGTCAACGTTTACCCCGCTGGGAACACGATTATTTCTGCAGTACAATGTCGAAATTCCGTTACATTTCTCTTTACGATGCTAGTCATCAGTACGCACCACATTCCAAATCTGTTTCTGACCCCCGGCCGCTCCCGTGGGAGTCCATTCCGTCCATATGATTGGCATTCAACGGATCGATAGCCGGGGCCGGGCCACGCTCTCGGGGGAACACACCCTGGGTCGGCTCTACACGCTCATTATTTGTGATTGATACGTTTCCATAAAAGGTTTAGGGGTGTATTTGGTTTCGTATCTCGTTAGTTAGCTGTCCCAAAAATTTATTTGGCTAATTGCGCTTTATAGGCAATTTTTAATGAATTCTACCGCTTTTAGACTAGTTTTTACGCAGAATTGATTGCCATTTTTGAAATTAGTAGGCGTTTTCGATGCCTTTATTTTACTTTCATATTCCATAAGTAGTTCAGTCGAATTTCCACTACCGGAAACACCGCTTTTCGAGGCTGAAATTGAGTTCTATAACTTTAGACCACTATTTAGGCTGAATGAAATGGAATTTTCAGTTTAAGAGGATTTTCTTATTAAGATCGTGCCCTGCAAATCGTCCGGAATACCTCCATCGATTCCCCACTTCCGGAAACACCTCGTTTCAAGAGAAAAACCTGACAGGTCGGCGGCTGGATTTCTCAACCCGATCCGCTGGGTGACGTTGTTTTTCCCCCAGTTCCACCGACCTCTAGTCCCCCTTTTCCGCATCGTTTTCTCGTTTTTTCTCTTCCGGGGGCTCCCTCCTCTGTTGAAGTGCTATTTTTGAGACCATTTCTGAATTTTGAGGCTATACATTCGCTTTTGAACCGAAAATCGAAGGTTATAATCGCGAATTTTCAGGCGAATAAACCAAATCTAGTCTATCAACTATAGATGGCTACCCCGGATAAGCAGCAGGAATTTGTGAGTTTTTTTATTATTTACGGAAGCTGGCTGGATAGAAGCATAATATCTGGAAGAAAAACTGGGTTTTTTGTGCGTTTTTGGTCGCTGGAATTTTTTTTCGGATTCAATTTGTATTTATAAAAAAATAAAATTACAAAATTACAAAATTCGTTGAAGAAAACTACGAAATATCATAAAAAAAAAACCCTTGGAATTGAATTTCAGAATGAGCCGCCGCCACCGTACCCCGGGCCCGGCCCAGCGCACGTCTATCCAAGTGTTCCTGCCGTGAACCAGATGCCGGTGTACAAGCCGCAACTTCAGAACATACAACAGGTAATTTTTGATACAATAAATTATTATCGGTATAATTAATATTTAAGCCCATATGTTGTGCTCGATTTTAGCAAATTAATAAACAAGACACCTTTAGCCAATTCCCACGCACGTCAGCATTCCGGTAGTTACGGTCGGACATGTGGATTATGGACCGTACGAGCGCCTGATCAACTGCCCGTTTTGCAAGGAGGTGAGGATGTTATAGATAACTTTTAGCTATCATTAATGCGCTATTAGCTCACAGCTTTTTAAAATAGGTTGATTGCAAGATTAGGCATCTACCAATCTTTTCCAGGAAATCATGACCTCCGTCGACTACAAACTCGGTCGTTTTGCCCTCGTCGTCTTCTGCGCGATCTTGTTTTTGTCGTGAGTTTTTAGACATTCAAAGTTTTTATATCTGTTCGTATATATATATTATTAAACCTTCCAGGTTATTCATGTTCTTCGCCGTGTGCTTCCTGTGGGTGCCGTTCTGCATCAAGTTCTTCAAGGACGCCGACCACAGCTGCCCCAAGTGCAAGGCCCACCTTGGAACGTACCAGAGGATCTAGAATTCGGAGTTCTTTGTGTAAATAAAGCTGTAAACTGCCATGGGTGGTGCATCGAGAAGCGGTAACGATAATGACACTGAAAACAAGCGATTTACAAAGAAATTTAACTTCAAAGACAGGCATCATTTCTGTTTTTTTTCTGATTATCCGATTTTAAAAGACAATTCAAACTAAAATAGCTTTATTCATTTGTTTCCTTTTCCATGAGTTTGCAGATGATTTAATCATTAGAATCTGGATAAGAATATGGCTTAACTGCAGTTTACCCCAGCTACCGTATCACGGCTCCCCTGTTCAACTACAGGTGTGTAAAGTATACCAAAATACTCGCCAGAGCAAGACGAACATTTTGGTATACTTTCCCCGCCTGTAGATGAACAGGGAGCCGAGATACAACAGTTGGGTGCCGGCTGGGGGGGGGGGGGTAAACTGCACTCTAATCAAGAATATTACCTTTGCATACAGAAATTCACAAAAAAACAGGCATAAACGATGTTCTTCCTGGGCGAGAAGGTTGGTTTCGACATTTCCTCGTTACGTATCAACTGCGAGTTAGCTACGGTAATCTTTTCAGGCAAATCCCCTAAACGAGGAGCCCCTGCCTCGGGGCAAGCGCCACTGGCTCGGCGTGGTGGGCGCGTACACCTGCCCGTCGTTCATCACCGTCTTCTGTAGGACGCCGGGGTTAAATGGCGCATAAAAATTGACTTCCAGTGATGGCTGTCGTCAGTTTCGGCATATGGCTTTTCTATTCGTGGGTTTTTGAGTTATATGCATTTTAACGAAGAGGAGAGCCCTCGAAATGGCATCGAATAACTTTAGCCCCCTGGCCGAGGTGTCCCCGCTCGGTGCCGTCGCACTTGGGCTATGGGTATTTTGGACCCTTGTGAAGGTGTACATCAACCTGGCGGCCATCATTTATTATCAGAAGTAAGGCACTATCGCTTAAGAAATAAATGCAAATGTAAAAATCTTCTAAAAATGAAACGGCCTCAAAAATTCTGGTAAGGCTCCAGATACCGCCCAGCCTCCAACTTTTGTATCTCGGCTCCCTGTTCGTCTACAGGCGTGTAAATAATATAAAAATGTTCGTCTTGTTCTGGCAAGCATTTATTTTTTTTTTTAATATTTTTTATCTAATTTTTTTTTAATATTTGTTTTAATTTTTTATTTTATTAAAATATAAAAATAAAAATTTTTTTTTTTTTTAAATTTTTTTTTTTTTTTTATTATTTTTATTTATTTTTATTATTAACTTTTTCTTCCCCTTCTCTTTTTTTTTTCTCTTCCTTTCTCTTTTTTTTTTTTTTTTTTTTTTTTTTTTATTTTTTTTTTTTTTTTTATTTTTTATTTATTTTTTTTTTATTTTATAATTTTTTTTTTAATTTTTAATATTTTTTTTTTATTTTTTTTTTTTTTTTTTAGGAATTTTATTTTTATTTTTTTTTTTTTTTTTTTTTTTTTTTTTTTTTTATTTTTTATTTTTTTTTTTTTTATTTTTTTTTTTTTATTTTTTTTTTATTTTTTTTTGTTTTTAAATGTTTTAAAAATAAATTTTATTATTTTTTTTTTTTTTTTTTTTTTTTTTTTTTTTTTTTTTTTTTTTTTTGTTTTTTTTTTTTGTTTTGGGTTTTTTTTTAAAAAAATTTTTTTATTTTTTTTTTTTTTTTTTTTTTTATTTTTTTTTTTTTTTTATTTTTTTTTTTTTTTTTTTGTTTTTTTTTTTTTTTTTTTTTTATTTTTTTTGTTTAAATTTATTTTTAAAATTAATTTTAAAATTAATAAATTTTTTTTTTTTTTTTTTTTTTTTTTTTTTTTTTTTTTTTTTTTTTTTTTTTTTTAAATTAAATTTTTGGTATAATTTACACACCTGGAGATGAACAGGGAACCGAGATACGGTAGGCGGGGCCAGGCTGGGTGGGGGAGGTTATCCGGAGTTCAGCCAAAATTCTGTTTAGGAAAAACGATCCCGAATACCAAATGCGCCGGCTGGGAATGACTTGTAAGTTTTTAAAAAAATTAATTAAACTTAAGTTACCTTTTTAAAATATTAAAAATTTCAAAATCAGTGATTAAAACACTTCAATACCTCAAACCTATTTTCCAGCAGCGGGTCGTAGCGCCGTAACGAACCAGATGATCACGGTGGCCGGCTATCGCTACTACGAATGGGGAATGTGTCGAGAATGCGATGCGTAGGTTAAATTGAATAATCGATAATCCGTAATCGATAAAGTATTGGAAATACCGTACCACTTTTGCAGTGCTCGTCCCCTTCGCTCGGACCACTGTCAATTCTGTGGTGGGTGCTGTCTGATGCGGGACCATCATTGTGTCGTAATCGGTTGCTGCATCGGGCTTGGGACTACGGTGAGGAAAGCGAGAGAGAGAACGAAAGAGCGAGAGAGATCGAGAACGAGCGAGGCAGAGAGAGAGAGAGGGAGTGGGGTTGAAAGTGAGGGGTGGGAGAGAGAGAGCCAGAATGAGCGAGAGAGGAGAGAGAGAGAGAGAGAGAGAGAGAGAGAGAGAGAGAGCGAGAGAGAGAGAGAGCCAGGAAGGTGTCGGATAATTATCTTTTTAGCGCTACTTCATCTGGATGCTGTGGCATCTCTTTGAGATTTGCCTCGCCGCCACGGTCGTGGTCTTCGCATTTCATTGGGAACAGATTTACGGGTAAGCTCCGCTTTGAATTTTTACCACGTTTCGGATCCTCTCAAAACTAAATTTTTAGGTGGCTTGTCTGGCCGAGCTTCTCGTGGCTGCGAAACCCGTTGTCCGATTGCCAGGGCGCGTACACGGACTGTGTCCTGGACTATTTGAACGGGATCGTGCCGACCGTCTACTATTTTGGCATCGTATGCTTTATGCGAAGCTCACGTTTTCCTTATCTCTCTCTCTTGCTGTCTCTCACTCTGTCTATCGCGCTCTCTCTCGCTCTCTCCCTCGCTCCCGCTCACTCACAACGAATTTCTTGATGACCCTGATGAATTTCAGGTGCTGGCGTTCGCCATCGTCGGCGTGTGCGGCTCCATCTCGTTGCTGGGCATGCAGGTAAGATTTTGATCATATACTAATTGTATATGGTAATCACGTAAGGCTTTTCAAGACCTGAAAACTTAGATGTACCAAATGCTCGTCGGTTGCCTCCTCCTCGAGCACACCTGGTCCAAAAATGTCATCAAGACGGAGAGGCGTGGAACGACTTTTGGTGGCTCCCTAACTCCTCCTCTCTCTCTCTCTCTCTTTCCCTCTCTCTCTCTCTCTCTCTTATATTTCAGAATATCTTAGGCAACAAGAACAACACCGTTTTCCACTTCCAGCCCAGCGCTTCCGCTTCGTGATGGGCTCTAAATGGTGGCTGAACTTTCTGTTCCCCTGCATCTGGACCGAGATCGAGTGGACCGACAGCTTCAAGGTGGAAAAACCTTGACTCAAAGAATTGTGAAATTTCTGTTTTCAGAACTCCATCCTGCTCTCCCCGTTGCTCGAGCCGCCTGAGAAGAAAGAAGAATAGCCTTCCAAAAATTCCCTCATTTTTCGCATCTCATTTCCTGGTTTTGGATGTTCTTTCTTGGCCATTTGGGAGCCATTTTTTTATCGGAATAAAGTTTTTCTGACATACGATACGAAACCCTACGCCACAGAAGAAAAACTAGAGGTTGCAAAAAAAACCCATTTCCTTTAATCAAAACAGAGCAATTTGTTCTGATGACTCAAAGTGCCCTGCGCAACCACTACGTTCAGCAGCAATAAACAGTCCCAAAGCCGAGCAGCAAATATACCAGATGTGGGGGCCAAATAGAGTAGAGCCTGTGCTTATTCAGCTGACCCCCGCAATAGCTCGGGCAAGCCAAATCGATCGATTCGAGCATTGCGCCCAACACCAGCCGCCGTTCACCCTTGAACTCATTGTTTCGAGCTCGTTTTTGGGCTTGTAACTTGATACGCCGCTTTTGCCAATTTATTTGCTGGGGGTGTGTTGAAATTGGCCAGCCGGTTTTGGGTTTCCGGGGCTGATGGAGGAACGGCCAATAATTTTTCGAATTTTTTAGTGTTGATGGGGTAAAAATTTGAGAACCTTGCTAGGCCGAGACACACCCTTATGCTTAGGCTCAGGTTTGTTAAGTTTCTCGAAGAATAGTAAAAATCAACTCGTTTTTTGCGCAAACTGTTTCATTAATTATTGAACCCCTTCCCCCGCCTTATTTTCACTACACTGTTCACTTCCCAGGAAAATACGATCACCACCGACAACCCATCTCCTATTTCGCCTTTTTCCTGCATCAACATCCCGCTCCGTTTCTCGGTATCTATCGAAACGGGGGGTGGTGACTACCATCCCTGCCGGCCTAACGGCTGCGTCGAAAACGGGAAGCAAAAAAGTGGACCGTTTTCAACCCCCCGGCCTGAAGGTCATTTGATTTTCGGGGGAGCCGCTTCCTTCATTTCCTAGGAACTTGGGTGTTGATCGCGTCATTAGAATCGCTTAACTTAAGAAACACGCAACTCCACTGAAAATTGTGGTTAATTTCAGGCTCTGACTTGGTCATTAGCCAAAAAATATCGCGAGTCAGTGTCCTAAAAACATACTTTAGATATTTGGGCGTTAAGAGGCTGGGTAAACTAATAATAGCGTTAACTGTCTTTCTCTCACTCTCTCTCTCTCTCTAACTCTCTCTCTCTTCTCCGTATTCCTCTCTCCTCACTCTCTCCCTTTCTCGCGCTCTTTTTTGAACCACGACCATTCTCTGACCTCACCCGTGTAGCCGTACTAATCCGCTGAGCAGCAAAGCTCATCCCCCCGTTATCACATTCCCGCTGTTTTTTTCCTGCACGATTTACGGCTTTTTCTGGTGACTCATCTGGACCCCAGGCCCGACCCCCTCCTTGCCCTGCTGTTTCATAACCCGTTTCCCCCGCGACTCCCCAGGCAAGAAGGGCTGGCAAGAGTGGAGGTGCGGCTCCTGTTCCTTCCTCCTCCCAGCCCTCCAACCAACAATCCAACACCACATCGATCTCACCCACTGGCATCCATTTTCATGAGCAAGTAAATTCGCTCGGGGCTGCTGTAATGGTTCCCGGCTTGCTAACGGAAATCTTATTTTTTGTATTTGTGCCAATTTTGAAGGTTAGGCGTAGGCTGGCTTAGGATTAGGCTTATATTCAGGCTTAGGTTTAGGCTTCGACTATACGACGTTTTCATTTTGTTAACGCTTCGCCTCCGTCTAAATTAGCATTACAAGGAAACCCATTTCTACCCCCTCAAACGAAAATTGCTACCCCCCCTTTCCCCGTTTTGCTGTCTTTTCGGGCTTCCGGAAAACACGTTTCGCCGGCCCTGCCGAACCAAAATATCGGAATTTGCTCTGCACCACGTTTCTTCTACATGCTTTTGTAATCTGGTGCAACCCAGTTGAGCTTTGTGCTTTGCCGTGAGTCACCCAAACTTCGTGTAAAAAGGCTTTTCCTGGGACCCTCCGGAAGTTCGTCAGCAGCACAAAGAGACCCTGAAACTCTGGGCCCAAAATAGCCCAGAGTAGCTACCCCCCCAGCATCTGGGATTGGCCAAATTTTTGGCTGGGGAGAGGCGGCTGGGTAACTGCCTTCATTTGTCGGCTCTTAGTTGGGAGATCCTTTTGAGAATGAGGTTGTGAATGTGAGACCACTGAAAGACAAAAAATTCAGCAGTTTTGGGCACTTGCTCAATTCTCTTAGGTTGTACCTATCATCTAATTTTCCTGAAAGTGACACTTATTAAAGTATAAAAAAATTCCAGGTTATATGGAGTATTCCTTGTTTTCCTTCGCGACACAATTTTGATTTTACAGTCCAGTCATGTGAAATCACGCATTTCTTGGCCCGGTCCCGACACGATCCCGCCCCGAAAATCGATGTTGTTTGCCCCGCAGCGTTTGCCTTTTCGAAGCGGTGGCTAGCGGAAACCCTGTAGCCCGCAAACTCCCCTCATAATATCTTGTAGCCAAACAACAATCCTCATTAAGTTCTCCTGGTTATTTGACCCGAGTCACGTCTTTTTTTCTGGCCCTAACACGCTCATCGCGTTATCGTTGAAATAGGGGTTGTTTGAGCAAATAGGCCCCCGTTATCTTGCCTATGATTCAGCGAAACCAGCCGGGCCAAAAGCTTTTCTTTTGCTGCTTTTGAACGATGTGGCTGGCCGGAAATCGATGGCTTTTACGAAATATCTCAATTTTCAGCCTCTCTCGCGATATTGTGTCTGGATTAGAATAAAAATTCAATTTTTTTGGGTTTCAGAAAACTTGAAAACCGCCGTCAGCAGAAGATGGGTGACGAGAAAGGAGCCGAGGTGGGTTTTTGTGGATTATTGGCAGGTTTATGCTTATAAATCGCAAATTTAAAAGATTTTAAAGCCGATTGTCAGCTAGCTAGCAAGAAACTACGTTTTTGAGAGCTATCTCTGGATTTTTCTCGCTGGATTGAAGCGCACTTATTGAGCTTACGTGTCCCTAAACCTCTGAAATGCGCCAACTTTAGGCTAGGGAAACATAAAAACCGTAGAGAACTCGAATAATACCTTAAAAGATTTCAGCTAAAGATTTGTGAATAAAACCGGAAGCTTATCAGGCCAGATTTTTCGACCGGAAGTGCTCTAAGAGTGGGGCAACGCATTTTTCCGACATCATAAAACGCATAGAATATATCATGAAGTATCTTTAAGTAATAGTAATATTTTTTAGCACATGGCCGCGCCGCCCCCGTACCCGGACGCGCAGAACAGCAGCGTCTACCCGTCGGTCCCCGGCCCGGCCCCGTACCCGCAGCAGAACTACGGCGCCTACCCGCCCAGCCCCCAGCCCCAGATGGTAGGTTAAACGTGTTTAAAGGGTATATACAGGGTGTCCCGTTTACAGGTCGGAGCAAAAAAGCCTGAAATTCCACCCCTAATTGGCTTTGAAGCTCCTTCTTTGAGCTGATTAAGCCATTTTTTTAAAGGCCGAAAACGTCGCAAAAACCGTCACAATTTTCGTGGGATTAAATTGAAAGCAAAAAAAAAACTATAATTTTGCCCGAAAAGCTTACAAGGAGTCGCTTTTAGGTGCTTTTGGAGTTTCGGGACGGGACCTAGCTAGTTCGATAGAGAAAAAAATTCTGAGCAGCATCCCGTTATCAAAAAGTGCTGATCGATAAAGGTGTTTTGGAAAATTTAATTTAAAGTTCGCGCTTTTTTCTAGTTTTCGGGTCCATTTCCTCGGTTCACGTCGTTTTCGGGGCTGGGCAGGGCGCCATTCCTAACCCTCCGCCAATGCCTCCGTCACAGGTTGCATTAGCGTATTGGTAGCGCGCTTGCCTACCAACTTTTTAACATTTTTTGCCTCGAGTTCGAGTCTTCGCGCTAGCTAACCCTTTGCTTTTTGGTCCTTGAACCCTTATCGGTGAATAAAATTTTAATTAGCAAAAAAGCAAAGAGTTAACGATAAATAAGAATTGAACTTGTGGTAAAAGGTCAAAAAAACTTCATAGGCCAACGCACTAGCCACTTGGCCATGCCTAGGACGGGATCCAAGGCGCGTGGAGTCCTCATGTGGCCGGGGCGGTCGACCGCCGCAAATAGCCTCAAATCACCACAAGGGTCCGGACCCCGGGAACATTTTTAATTCAATTAATTTTCTAAAACAGCTTTATCGATCAGCACTTTTTGAAAACGGGATGTTGCTCAGAATTTTTTTATCTATCGAACTAGCTAGGTCCCGTCCCGAAACTCCAAAAGCACCTAAAAGCGACTCCTTGTTAGTTTCTTAAACAAGCTCGGCCCTTTCAAATCCGGGATCAGCCAAGTCTAAAGGCATTTTTGGCTCTGAAAAGTAGATTACCCGAATCCGAAAAATGATTATTATAGCAGCAGTACCCCTCCCAACCGACCTATCAGGTAAAAACGGCCGCCTAACCGAGCTACCTGTTTTTTTTTCTTTTACTTTTACATTTTCTTCTCGGAAGTAAAGCTAACTTTCTCGTTTTTTTTTGGAATTGGAATGTACTTGAAATTTCTTGGTGGTGGTATTGAAACCTCGTGAATTCAAGCTCATTATCGCAAAATACAATTTCAGCCCAGCGCCCCGGCCCACGTCATCACCGTCCAGCCAACCACCGTCATCCTGAATCACCAGCTCGGGCCCTACTCGTGCTCCGTCACCTGCCCGAATTGCCACCAGGTGAGCAGCAACATTTGATAAAGGGAGCAAGTAAATGGGAGTTTAACGGCCAAATTGATTTTAAATGAACTTGAAACGAAAATCCTCGTCTTAAGCTAACAAAACGAGTTTTAAGCCTTCAAAATGTTTTATTCGGACAACAATCGAGGCTCTGGATCGGAAAGGCTACGAAAAGGAAGTGAAAAAAGGGTCTTATAACTAAACACGTTTTTTGTTTTGATTAAAAAACTTTTAATTTCTCTGAAATGTCGGTTTTAGGAATCAGAAAGAACGGGTACGGGAGGTTAATTAATTAAATTAATGCTCAATATCTAACGATCATCAACAAGTAAATGCAACCAAAAAAAATTCCAGACCGCCTCCACTGAAGTCATCTACAATGCTGGACTATTTGCCTGGTTGATTTGCGGAATTATGTTCATCTTTGGGTAAGTATCAAGTTTAAACCGTTAAAGCCGACGGTCTTAAAAATAATATTGTCAAAGTATTTTATGTTATAGAACTGCTTAAACTCCAAAATTCCAGATTCTGGTGCTGCTGCTGCATCCCGTTCTGCATCGACTCGTGCCAGGACGCCGAACACCGCTGCCGCAACTGCCGCCACTACCTCGGCACCTACAAACGCATGTAAAACGTCAAAAATACTGTTTTATGACGCGATTCTGTCCCCCAAATTTTACACTTTGCCGATGCCTTGCAACGCTGGTTCACTTAATAAACATGTCAAGAGAATCGGGAGTAATGCCACAAAAATACTGTTGAAATGACAAATTATAATCATAGCAAACAAATTAGTATTTTCCTGAAGGTGTAAGAAACAACAATTCAAAAAAGGTCAAGAAGAAAACAAAAATCACTAGTGGCTCCGTGGTTCCGAGGCTTAGACTACGCTACACTCCTACGTACGTCGTTACGATATGAAATTGAGACTACGTTACGCGCCGTTCCAGTGCGCGCTTTTTTATAATTCAAACTCATTTCCTAAGCGTTAGCTTGCCGATGCGACATGGGTTGAACGTTTTCCTGCCCCTTTTTCAAATTCCACCACTTGCCGGGCGCGAGAATGCACCAATTACGCCCTGGAATCCCCGCCTTTTGCGCATTTTGAACCCGCGCTCCGGTTTAACCTACTGAAATTTACGAAAGTTACATTGTAAATTTGTGTTTTTACATGATTCATTTCTACCATGTACAACGAGAGAATTTGCGATTTTTACCTAGTAATTTGTTGCGTTTTCTAGTTTCAAATGTTTGCCTTTCTTGCTTCTTGAATTTTTCTTACTTTTTAGAGCCCTCTTGCTGCGTCAAAACAACTGAAAAGGGCTCAATGAGGGTCTTCTCGGTTCCGTGGATACACCATGAAGGTAAAGCCAGTTTTTCTTTTTCTTTAATTTTTTTTTGTTTCAGGCGACACATTCTACTCGATCGACATCAGCCCGGTGACCGGAAAGATTGCGACCTCGGGCCCTGATGGAATCAAGGGGTAGTTTTTTTGCTTATTTTGTTCTTAGCCCGATGTTTTTAGGGCCGTCCGTATCTGGAATTCATACGCTATCGGGCGTGAAGACGAGAATCCGAGGCCACCAATGATGTTGAGCTCACTGGAATTTGATAGTAAGAGTTAAAATCTGGTGTTCTATATCTTTTTAGAGCATGTGAATTGTGTCCGGTGGTCCCGGGATGGGCAGCAGCTGGTTTGTGGCGATGATGCACATGTGGTATGCCTCAAACTTTAATATTTAGCTTTATACTTTTTAGGTGTCGGTTTGGACGTTCGCGGGCGGCCTGCAGTCAGCAGGGACAATCGGAAAGCGACAGGCGCTTTTGGAGCGCTATGAACGACGGCACGTCATGAATTTTCATAGAATGGAGGTAGGAGAGCTTATTGGTTGAGATATGATTTTAATTAACCTTTTTAGGTATCGGCAGTCGAATGGTCGACCTGCGAGCGCTATATGGCTTCTGCGTCTATCGACGGGCTGGTGGTGATCTGGAATGCGAAGTCTCTCCCCGATCGTGTTGCCGTGCTCGACCGGAAAGCTGAAGGGCACACCGGACATGTGAAAGGTATTTTAAAAGTTAGAAACTAATCTTTTTTTTCTTGTTTAGGTCTTTCCTGGGATCCGATCGGCACCTATCTGTGCACCCACTCGAACGATAAGACGTTAAAAGTTTGGCGAACCGAGACGTGGAAGCTAGATGCGACTATAAAAACACATTTTGAAGAAGTATGCTCATTCTAACGGGATGCTATTCTTTTTTAGAGCATTCCTTCCATGTTTTCCCGTCCCGACTGGACCCCGGATGGTAGTTTTATGATTGTTCCGGTTGGTTTTTTGTAAATTAGCGATTTTCGTCAAAAGTTGTAAGCTTTGTCATAGGAAAATGCTTTTTTTCAGAATGGCTGCAATCAATCGATGCCCTCATGCGAGATCATCACCCGCGGCGACTGGGACAAGCCGCGCTCCTTTATCGGCCACCGGAAGCCGGTCACCGTCGCGAAATGCTGCCCCCGAATGTTTCACTACAAGGATGAGCAAGGCATTCGAAGGGAGGTGGGTCCAGTTTTATACCGCCTCGTACACCTTTTAGATCAACTTGGTCGCGCTGGGCTCGATGGACCAGACACTGACACTTTGGGCCATTCCGTGGACAACTCGACCCCTCGTTAACCTTCAATCGATCGCAACGGTAATTTTTTGTCGAAATATGAATAAATATGTCAATATTAACATCAAATATATATTTTTTATCTTTCAGCAATCAATCATCGACCTGGCCTATTGTCTCTCCGACCTGTACGTCGTCTCCAAAGACGGCCGACTGATCGTCGTCAAGTTGGAAAGCGCCGAGTTCGGCGACATGTTCACGCTGGACGATATGGCCGAGACTTGCCAGAAATTGTACAAGAAAGTCCCACCCCGATACGCAGAAATGGCCGCGACGCCAAAGATTGTCCGACAAGTAAGGGAATGGCGAATATCTGACCTGTTTTAGGAAAATTTCGAGGCCTCCGCTTTGCGCTCAGGTGCGGTCTCGCAGCTCTCGGCGGAAAGAATGGACATTGGCGACGTTTCGATGATGTCTGATGGGAATACAATGCCTGGCCGCGACAAACAAATCAATGTTTGCATTAATTTTTTAAGGCCTTTTATTGTTATTTTTAGACCAAAGACGAAAAAGGACGCCGGCGTGTGCAGCCCGTCTTTATGGCGTCGCTGAACGCCCCGCCGTTGGGCCCGACGACGTTCGCCATACCGAGTCCGAGGTAGATTTCTAAACTATGTTTGAACTTTCGATAACCCTAGAAAATTACCAACTTCCCCGGTCAAGCGCATCGAAAAGATGGAGGTGGACAACACGATCGTCTCGAAGAGCGTGGCCAGGCCGGCTTCCCCGGAAAGCGCCCGCCCGCCTAAGCGAAAGCGGATCATCTCGGAGACGGACGAGTCGGAGCAGGAAGAGGAGATCTCGGCGCCCGTCAAGCCGCACTTTGACAAAAGCGCTATACTGTAAGGATTTTTCATTTTTTTGATATCTACTTTCTATAGCGCCGCGGATTTCAAGAAGCCGGTCCTCCGCGTGCTCGACGCCCCAGGCCCGCTACGCGCTGTCGACGGGGCGCTCACGATTCCGGACGTGAAGAAGACGCTCACGGAAAAGTTTGCGGTAAGAGATTCAGATTTCTTCGGAAGGTATCTGTCTATTTTTTAGCCAAACGAGGTGCTGGAGGTGGAAAACGACAGCTTGGTGAGCGCGCTGGCTGGGAAGGGCGCTCGAATCGCGAGGATCCAAAATGGCACGACGAAATGGACACGTTACGCGGTGCAGACGGTCGTCGTCGTCGCTTCCAACAAGTAATGTATTTAAAATCTTGCCGGTTCTATATGAAATGAGAGGTTGTTATTCGAAAAATGTTTAAGATTTGAAACTTTGGTTAAAAATCGATAATTTTGGTTCGAAAATCGTCATTTTTTTGTTTTTCAAGACTTTTAGCGTTTTTACAGTTATGGATGGTAAAAAAACATCTTAAAAAATGGTTCCTGCTGAAAAGATTTGTGTTTTGCTTTAACTGGCCCCATTTAGGCAATACGTCGTGACGGGCGGCATCGATCGGGATATTCAAATCCTTAACGCCGACACCGGACGATTGCTGAGAAATATAACAATAGACGCGGTCCCGGTTCGCGTCGGCGTGCAAAAACATTTCGTTTTCGCACTCACGGCAAGCGGCACATTCCACTCATGGTAAATCCTTATTGCCTCGGCCAAGTTATTTTTCAGGAATGCGCGCGACTTGGTGAGGATGCTGGACCGTGTGCCGGTGTTGCACCTGATACGAGGAGATGGTAGGCTCAAGTTTTTGTGCCAATATGAATTTTTGCTTTCAGACCCCACCATATCGTCGGTGACCCTCTCGGAAATCGGTACGCCGTTGATAGGCCTCTCTACCGGCCACCTTTATAGCTACGATGCGGGCGATTGGTGGGGATCTTTTTACGATTACCAATCTCGAATTTTAGGCTGCTGATCGATCGCGGGCCCAGCGTGCTGACGCGCTGCTTCGGCGGCATCCCTACCGGTGAATTCCGCGCCGGCATCATCGCCAATCGACTCAAGAAGCGTCTAAAGTAGGTTATTTAGTCCCGATTTTCCCGAATACTTTTTCAATTCGATTCTAAGTTTTTGTACCTGAACAGCCTGAATGTTGCTAAAATGGCAGTTAAAATTTACATGCTGAGACGCTACTTACGGAAAAATGATTTTAATGTATTCAACTTCATTTTCTGCATTTTCAGCACGGATTTGGCCCCAGACGTCCCCGCGCACCGACGCGACCTCTGCAAGCAGGCGGCGCTCGAGGATATGATGAACGGCCTGCGGAATCTGGGGACTGCCAACGACTACAAGGACGTCTGCAAGCTCTACGTTCGACTACTGATTCAAAAGCGTACGTTTAAGATGATTATCAACGATATATTTTCGTTTCAGGAAGCGAGGCAAAACTGCAAGAGCTAATCGACGAGCTTCGCCGCTTCCCGAGAACCGACGGCACCATCTCCGAGGTACAGGATATGCTCAAGGCCGACAAGCACTTTGCCTACCTCGCCGAACCAAGCCCCAAACTCCCGCGCACCCTTTTCTAAAGCCTTTCATTGGAATACGACCCATTTTGTTTCTATACCTCTAATTTTCCTTGTTTTTGATATATTCGCACCGATCTCTTTCCCGCCTTTATCAAATGTTCCCCCGTAATCACTATCAGTTATCAACCCCCGCCCTCTAGTCTCATCAACCTGGCTTCTTCGATTCCAATGCAATACTGATCTCTGAATACCCCGTTTTTCGCGATCTAATTGTTAAGTAATAAGCTTCTTACTGGTTTTTCATCCTGCCACGTGTGTTTTTTCATTACCGGTGTTTTTTGCGATAAATGTCTGCCCTTTCAGAATTGTGGAAATACGAATGTGGGCGATATGAACGATAACACGAACTTTTACTTTACGATTCTCTGATATTTATCCTTCGTAAATGAAAATTGGGATCGATAAATCAAAGTTTAGAGATGGCGGAGGTTTCAATAAAAATCCTATTCTTTGCAAAAGCAAAAGATTTAGCAGGCGTCGATGAGATGGTGGGTGAGAACTGGTCTTACATTAACATATCTTTTAGACAATTAAGCTACGTAAGGAATGGAGTTACGCTGGATTGCATAAATATATTTTTGTAACGGTAATCGCTTTGTAATCAATCGAGTGTCTTACGGTACCTAGCTGCTGCCAAAATTAGCCGAAATCGCCGATTCCTGCGTCCTGTCGGTCGATCAAAAATATGCGAGCCCGGGCGAGAATTTGGTTTTGATGCCGAATTCAGAGGTAGATGGATAGGAGAATTTTATCAAAGTTATCCAAAATAAAAAAGCATTTTTAGATTGCCGTCATCCCACCATTGTCAGGAGGCTGAGAAAGTGCATAAAAATATACTTTGAATGTATAAAACTATCAAAACCTAAAAGTTAAAGCGATTAGCATAAAAAGGAAAACAAACAACATCATCCAGATTTTAGAGCTTGTTTTCTACAGCAGTTTTCTACAACCGATTTCGCCAGATCCCCATTTCAAAAACGCAGGGATGCGGATCCGTGGTGCCCTAGATTTTCGCATCCGTCTTCCCGGCTAGTTGAGCAGCCGCTCTGGGCTCAAAAATGGAATGCGCAAACGGAAAAGCGCGCCCTTGGCACTGTGGGCAAGGCGTTTCACTTGGTCAAAATTTAGCCGGCGCCGCCGCTGACCAGTTTATTACTACTACCCCTATTCGTAGTGGGCATTTCTCGAGGAAATGGATTTTGAGTTTTGCAAATAGCGTTCGAGTTTTGCGGCGAGAACGGAATGGGCGCGGCCATTTCCGGCTTTTCTGTTTTTAGAATTCTCACCACTTTCAGATGGTCGAGATATTCCTATTGATGTGCTTACATGCTTTAAGGTTAGCATTATAAGGTTTCGATGCGTAATGAGTTCGACCTGATTGTGCGCTTTTCGTGTCAAAAATTCAATGTCCTCTTGACTTGCGTGACCTTTTTTAAGACAACACGTGATTTTTCTACAGTCAGAAAACGATTTTTTTAAAAATTTTGCCGTCACGGCCGTCAAGGGCAAAGCACCGCGTCCCCTGAAAATGGCAAAATCCTAGCTCCGTTTAACACGCCCATTTAATTTCCAGCATTTTCAAGCTTTCGACGTCAGCTTCTGCCACACCGCTTCTAATTCCAGCTTCTACTCCCCTCGCGAATTACTTTCCCAACCCCTTAACCATAACACATTTAGGCCCCTTCACTTTCTACCTAGGGCGAGAAATGGCTAGCCATTTCCCGCCGTACCTTTTACTTTCCGCCCCACCGGCCCTACCAGATTGGTTGACACCATTTTCGAGAAGGCGGGTGCCGCGGATCCGCTTTTTCCCCCGGGAGCTTCCTTTCACGTTTAGGCGCTTCGGGACATAATGGGTACTGGTAGGGAAGAATGGCTCAGTGGTGGGCTCGAGGCTTTCATGTATCTTCTCGTCTTCAGCGTTTTTCGTGTTTTCATTGCGGCGATTTGAAAAGAGGAATTTTCTGGACTAACGGCTTTATTATAACGTTTAATGCCAAATTTTTCGAGTTTCCAGCTTTCCTTGATTCCTGGAATTCCACGTTTTTGAGAGTTTTGAAGACCGAAATTTTGGGAATTCACATTGCATTTTTTGCCAAAACCCCGTCAGCCAAAATCCCGACAGCCCTGTTCCCGACATCCGAAATGCCGACATGCAAAATAGCTGTTTCAACAAAAATGGCATTTAAATTTGAATAAAACAGGACACGTTTATGGCGATCGACATACTCGATATCGTGATTATCCCTGGCAGGTGATTTATAATTCAAAGTTACGACTTCGACAAGCCCTCAAAAGCCTAAAAAAACCCCAATACGTTTTTACACGTCTCTTTCATAATTTTTTATGCAAGGTATAAAGCTCTCGCCAGCTTATCCGCTGACTCAAAAGCCCATCACCCCGGATCAGGGTCAATGGGGATGTGGAATTTTTTTGAGGCGGCGCCCGATCCGGCGCGCTTTCTCCATCTTTTTGAGCGGCCTCACTGGGTCACGGTCAACTCGGAAATGCCCCTAATTGTGGCGATCAGTGGGACGATTGGCGGGCTGGTAGGGGAGAAGCCCATATTTTTAAACTTTCTTGATCGCGCAAGGATTGAAACTTTTCTACTATCGAGAGTTTCTCGATTAAACTGCAGATTTGTTTATTTTTATCGTTAATAATTTAATTCGATCTGACGGTTGAAGCCTTTTGTTTCAGACTTGCTTTTTTGTAAGCAGTCCCCCGTTTTTCGGTGCATCACTTTCTGCGCCTATTTTTCTACTATTTTTCCATGCTCGGGTACACCCCGCGCGTTTCGATGACCTTTGCCTGGTCGCCATTGGTTTTCCGAGCCGATTCCGGAAAATTTGCATAAATTCCGGGGCTCCGGGGACCATCACGTTTTTCAGCCCTTCTACTCGAAGCTGGTATATAGGCGCGCAAAATTGCTCTATGGAATTTTCTAGTTCCGGCTGGACCTTGGATCTCAAAAGTTCAGGCTCAAATTTCAGATGAGCCCCCGGGGCCTTCTCCTTATTTTGGCGGTGGCCACCCCGATTTTGGGAAACAGTTTGTTGAAGCGGACGATACATGCGGATGGGAGTCGAGGTGAGTTAAGCTTATTACTAAATTTAATGGCTAAATCGGGCCGAAATTTTACACTGGCTTCAACTTTTCTACAAAAATGCCTCTGTTTTAAGATAATTTTTTATCGCTTTCAACATTCCATAACTTTCCACTCAAAAAAACCGTCTAGTAAAGCCGGTGCCCCCTAGTGCTCCCTGACTCGCCAAAAATTGGGTCAACCCGGATAAGTATTCTCTCCCCCCACTCAGCCAGCGAAAAGTCAACCCAATTTCCCGCGCTGAAAAAGCAGCCCAAGGTTAAGGCGTATGGAGTTGGAGGGCATTGATTAGCAGCAAGCTTGATCAAAGTCAAAGTGCAGGCTAAAGGCTCTAAAATATCTAGAAAATTATCTCCTGAAGATTACGATGCAAATTAACGCATCAAAAAGGCCAAAAAGCGTAACTAACTTCCAAAAAAACGTAAGTCTAGGCTAAAATCGCGAAAACCAATTTTTCCTGCCGTAAAAATGCCGAAATATTTATTACATTTTGAACGGACGTTTTCTACCTAAAAATTAGGCTGTTTTGTGCAGACTAGCTTGCAGAAAATGTAGTTTGAGTCCGTAAGACGTCAAAATACTTCAATTTCAGACTTTACCATCGTCAAACACATCCAGAAGAACACGTGCAGTTGCAGTTGTAAATGCGTCCCAGACTCGGTAGCTGAACAATGGCTAAGCGATCGCCACGAGCCGGTTAATAAGGTAAGATGCCCCCACAGGTTTATCATTTTTTTTGGATTTTAGCTAGTCGACGATGCTCCTGAATCGTCAGCAGTCCTAGAAGCTATTCTTGGTCCGAGCGCGGGCTCCAAGCCCGAGAAATCCCCTGAAGCTGTTGCACAAAACATTGAGAAAACGCTGAGCCACTTGACTCCGGATGACCGTAAACCGGAAGCTGCCGGAGCCGGTGCCGCTCAACAACGGCCAGCGAAAAATAGTGTAGCCGATTTTGATGCGACAGCACCACTGGCCCACAGAGGTGGAAGTCGAGTTCAAGGAGTCAAAAATTTGAATCCAGTCGAGACAACCTCAAGCTCTTCTACCGTAACCCCGCCCACGACTCCAGCAAGTTCATCAAACTCCGATTCTGATGCAGATTGGACTGATGATCAAGAGACCAAGGATTCGTTGGCTTCTTTGAACAAAGAGGCTGCCAATTCTGAAGCGACTGATGTTACAAACGTTGCTAGTAGCAACTCGGACAAGCCCAATCCTACGCTGAAAGTGACTATCCATCCAGCTGCCGAGCCGACGGTGACGGTTCGGGTGATCGAGGAATCGAAATCCGAGACGACTACCGCAAAATTGGCTGAGAATATCGATCAGCACGTTGAGGTGACGGAGCAGAAGAATGAGGTGAGGAGAACGAGCTTTTTAAAACATAAAGAGCGCGGCGAACAGCTAACCATTTTTTGAGATTTCCAAAAATAATGTCAGAACTCGTTTTAGGACCTTCCTACCACTAAACCTGCACTTCCGGATACGGGCACTACAGTGGCAGCCACCACCAAAGTCGAAGAAAAGGTAAGTAACTCTTTATATCCTTGGAAATGTGTTTTAGACGGAACCAGAAGCTACACCTCTCGCTACTACTACTGTTGGGCTTACGGTACTTTAATCCGAGATAACCTCTATCTATTTCGATTTCTAGACAAGCCAACAGCCCCAGAAAGACGTTGAAACTACGCAAGCTACGACCACAACAGTCAAAACGGTAAGTGAAATACAAAAATGACATTTTCGAATTCGAATTTAGGTGGCTACCACCGAGGTCCCGGAGGAAGAAGTGAGGACCACTGCTCGAGTTGCAGATCTCTTGACGTCATCAGGAATGTTTAGAAGTGGGTGTTTTTACAGATTAGACTATACTTATTCTAAATATTTAAATTATGTTAAGTAAATCCATTTAACTTCTTTTTAGCAAGCCCCCGTGAGCTGCCCCCACGCTGGAAGAGCCTCATGGATCGCCTAAAAATCAAACTGGAAGAGCTGAAGGCCAGAAAGCTGGCCGAAGCCGAAGCGAAGAAACAGGCCGAGTTGACTGCTGCCAAGGCACTCGTTCTCGGTGTTGAACCGACTACTGTAGCTCCAACTACGCAGCAATCCACAACCACGGTCTCTACATCTACCGTAACCCAGGCTACCACACCTAAAATGGTACCAGCGACTTCTGAAGTAGCCAAAACCGGTGATGAAGCTCCGAGCGGACTCGGGAGATTGATTTTGGAGGACAACTCATCCCAAGCTTCTGGTTCAAAGATCGTTACTGTAGATCCGGTAGCTACAGAGGCTACAACTACCACTGTAGCTCCAAGCACAACGGAAGCGACCAAAAAACCGGAAACAGCAGCTTCCACAGTAGCTCCGGGTGCTTCAAATCCTACCAAAAAACCGGAAGCAGCTCCGACTACGGTAGCTCCAAGCGCTCCCGAATCTACCAAAAAACCGGAAACAGTTGAGACTAGGATACCAGGAGCCTCAAGCTCCTCGGATGCCCCAGTCACTTCAACAACTAAGGCAGCACCGAAAACTCAAGCTTCTGAAGCTACGACGCTAACCTTGGGCTTGCCGACAAATGCTCCTAAAGACGCGCAGGCTTCGGAAAGCAGCGGAACAACCAAGATTGACTTGACTACCACAAAACTTGACGAAACCACGACTCCGACTACTGTAGGAGATTCGGATTTGACTACCGTACTTCCCAGTGTTGCTCCAAAGGCAGGTGATGTGCGTCATGCAGCTGGAGCCACGACGCCTACTGATGACCTACTGATGACAGATGTAACTACTGCTGCTGCTTCTGACACCAAGGAGCCTGAGACCGAAACAACCAAGAAAAGTGACATTCCGGTTACTGTAGCGACCGTAACTACAACTGAGAAAAAGTCTGAAACAAGTACGAATGCTCCTAAAGACGCTACTACGGACGCTGCAACTACTGTAGCTTCAGAAACTTCCCGCGCAACTGACGCCAAGACAAGCGCGGTGCCTTCGATAGCTAAAACTAGCACTACACAAGCTCCTACCACTCCCAAGACTACGGTAGCACAGAACAATGATGCTACGGTGGCAACGAAGAATTCTGAAACCACCACCACGACAGGTTCAGGCCTAGAGATCGCCTTCAAGACTGCCCCTGCTGAGGAGAGCACCCAAAACTCTAAAGATGCAGAAGGAACTACGGTGAACCCGATAGTGGTCTTCCCGAAGAAGGGAAAAAAGGCAAAGGAGCAAGAGAACAGGAAGAACAAGAACCAAGGGCTTGAGATTGCGTCGGTTTCTGAAGAAGATGAGCCTAAGGAGAGGGAAGTGAAGAAGCAGTCGGGGAAAAACCAACAGAAAGTGAAGCAGCAGCAGCAGAAGAAGGGAAAGAAAAACAATAAGAACGATGATGAGGAGTATGAGGTGATCCCATCGGAAGAGGATCTGGACGATGAGGATGAGGAATCCGAAGAAGAGGTGAAGCAGAAGAGGCCGGCTTTCAAGGTGGGGTAACTTTTAATTGCCCCAAAACTTAAAAAAGCCCGCAATTATTAGCCGACTTGGTATATTACGCATTTTAGAACTACTATCGCTATAAACGAGAGGTATTACTGGCTTTTGTCATTTTATTATTTCTTGTCTAAGTCTAGAAGCTTTGATAATTCCATATTTAGACAATCCACGCTCACGATGATGGAAATGGTGACGAGAAGCCGAGGCCCGAGCACGTTAAGACGAACAAGTCGGCGCCTAAGCAAAAGCCTGTGACTACTACGGAAAACACCGCGGAAGAAAAGTGAGCCAAAAGCCTAACTCTAAGCTTAGACCCAAGCCTAAGCCTGGGGTTAAGCCTGGGCCGAAGCCTGACTTAATTTACCCCGAAGTCTGAGCCTAAGATAGAGAAAGCAAGTCCGGTAAAACATTATTTTAGTACCACCCCACAACCCGCCTTCTTCACCCTACCCAACTTCAACAACAACTCCGGCAAGAACCAACCGGCTTTGGAATCGGCCAAGGAAGTCTTCGCAAAGCAGGGGATTGACTGGACACCGGAAGAGGGGTAAGTTACCTGGGGTCAAATGTTTACGATCGAAATTTTCGCATTTTACCGAGGCTTACAACGTGCTTACTCTTAACATTGGCATTAAAGGGAGGGCGGCCGACGGACCCCCCCCCCCAAAAAAAAAAGAAAAAAAACAAAAGGGGGGGGGGCCCCCCCGGGAGAGGCGCAAAAACCCCTTCCCCCCCCGCGAAACCAATTGAACAACCCGGCGGCAACCCTTTAACGATACCTTAATCGTGTCAGCTTTATCACGCTCAATCCCAATGCGCGAAAAACACCACAAAATTGGCAAGGTTGGCAACTTGGAAGATGAAAAAGATGAAGAAGTGCCGGGAGTAGACCCAGCTGACGATAACCGATAGCCACAGACTAAAAACATCCTTAAAATTGGTTGGACCGAGGAAAGCTTCAACCTAACGCCGGAACGCTCAATTCCGGGCTTCTCTGGCTTTTGCCCCTCCTCGAATGGTAGTGTAACCAAAACGACACAAGCTAGGGAAACGAGACCCACGTCGATGATGACGAACCAGCCTAGAATTGGAGATAGAGTGCGGGAGTGCCAGAGAGAGAGAGAGAGAGAGAGAGAGAGAGAGAGAGAGAGAGAGAGAGAGAGAGAGAGAGAGAGAAAGAGAGCAAGACACAGAGAGATCCAACTCTCTAACCTAAAAGCGGAAACGTTGTATTCCTCGGGATCGCCTCCGAAAGCATTTGCACAAATATTGTCATAGACATCATACTTGTCAACCCGATACTCAGCTATTTTTAATTTTATTATTAAAGGGGCTAGTAACCTTGGAAAGTTGCTCCTGCTGATCATTTTCCGTCCAGAACATTCCCCATATCGAGAGAAGCGTCAATAGGAAGCACGGAACAACAATGACAAACACGTAGAAAGTTGGCTCTCGCTTTAGGTCTAGGTAGAATTGCAGCTAAACGGTTCCTATATCGAAAATTCAATATGGCGTTACTTACAAAATCATACTTTACGCCGCCAGTCCCATTAAAAAGTTCGTACCAGACCGTAATGTTCCGGAAACTCCACTCCCCGTTGTCCTATAGAGAAGGCGGTAGAAAATGCTGAGCAATTCGACTTACATAAATAGTGCCCTCTTTATATTTGGTAAATAGGGCACCAGATTGCTTTATCGACTGGTAGTCGTAGGCATTGTTGAACATATCGATGCTGCACAGTTGTTCATCGAATGGGAAGTCTTTCACCTGGAAAATTGGGTTGTAAAAGTTATAATTCTTATTATTGGGATAAATTTGGCTTTTTTTACGGTAAAAGCGATCTTTTTTTATTTTAAAGGCCCATTGAAGGCAAATCTAGACCCAAAAGCCCACATTCATCACGCAGCGCGTTTCAGCATAATACTGCAGACTAACGGAAACCGTCCCATTTGCATAAATTGTAGCGGTATTGAACTGATCGGGGTAGACGACTTCTAGGGTCTGTCTAAAAGATGGACATTTTGGATGTCGTATCGTAACGTAACTCGTTATGACGTACTTAATAGCCTACGCATTGCTAATCCCATTCGCTGGGATCCATATGCTAGTCGATTGCACGTTAATACGTTCTATGCCATCGTAATTTTCAGGATTCCAAGCCAATCGGGCGTCCTTATAATCCTGAAACGCAGCAGCATTAACCTACTGGATATTCGGACGTTATTTTGAAACCCTTAAAGCGGCTCGCGCAGCCCACTGATTACGGCATTTTGGGGGGCCGGGCAGAGACGCAGAGTTCTGTTTGCGTCTCTCCTCTGGGCGCGCTCTTTCTCTCCCGGCCGCGACGCACCCGACCGCGCTTCCACGAATCGTGGAAAGAGGGGTCTGCTGGAGAAGCCCTTTAAGCTCGTCTAAAACTCACGTAGTCAATCTCCATCGATATACTGGCCATTTGGGACTGGGCGTTCTAAAAAATCAGCTTATCAATTCACCACTATCCTTTGGAAAGGCAGCTTTTTAAAACTTACCATCCCTAAGAGTTGTATAAATTGCAGCGAGATGAGCACATCAAACTTCGGGATTGAGTCATTCTGGTTCCCTCTAAAATAGATCGGTGCCAGGTCGTTGCGGTAGCCCCGGACGACAAATAACTCGTTGTAGAGCTCCTGGCTTTTTGTCAGGAAATTTGCGTAGTCGCCTGAAAGCGAGGAATTTTGAACGAAACGTCACTTCTTGAGTTTTGGAAGCTTCAGTAATTTCCAGTTTTTAACAGCCATGATTACGCGGATGGTTTGACGCGCGACACGCGCCGCGTGTACTGCTGCGGTCGTGCTCATAGAAAAAATTGTATCCATAGCGCTCCCTAGCTAACTCCTTTCACAACCTGAAATCGATACCTGCTACCCCAATCTCCGTCCAATTCACCCCAGCCAAATTCTCCGCATAGCAGCAGGCATACTGTAGCGTAATTAGGTATAGAATATGCAGTATACCCTTAAATTCCATCATCTACACCAAAATGATGCTGATTTTCGACCTCGAAACGCGGAAAACCTGAGAAATCATGGGGGAATGAATAAGCACAAACACCACAGGATCCCCCCGACTGCCCACAAGTTTCCGATTTCACCTGGCGCCCCCGCGTTTTTGTACTTGAAATATCCGGGGTGAACGCACGCCGCTATGGCAGGTGTACGTTTGTGTTGGGGGAGTTTCTATGGTATTCTGAAATCGTGACACTTGGCAGCGTTGGAAGTTCCGAATTCTTTGGAGGGCAAAGAACCTGGTCAGGGCCGGTAGAGCGGGTTGGAAGATGTGTTTTGATGGTCTGAGTCATGAGTTACAAGTCGTGTATGGGGTGGATTCGGAAAAATGGAACGGATAGCACTAGAGTACTCTCCAGTAAAGAGTGTATGCGTAGCTATTCTTTTTCGTTCGCTCGCGCTTTCGCCCTCACTCTCACTCTCTCTCGCGCTTTTTTCAGAATTGCTACGAATGGCTGCATTTTCAGCCATATTTATCATTCTCTTCAGTTCCAATGCGACATAAACACGATAAAATTCGTAACATTTGCCATTTGGAAGGTGAAGAAGATGAAGAAATGACGGGAGATCAGCCAGTTTCGCAGGAAGGGGCTCCATTTTCTAAAAAAATTTGGGGGCTTTTGAGAAAAGCGCACCTGATCCCCTCTAGCCCATCTACCTCCTTCTTCACGTTTTTCGCTTTTTCGAATGGTAGAGTGACCAGGATGACGCACGCTAGCGATACAAGGCCCACGTCGATGATCACGAACCAGCCTAGAAAGAGCGAAAGTTAGAGAGGGAGAGAGAACGAAAGAGAGAGAGAGAGAGAGAGAGAGAAAAAGAGAAAGAAAGAAAAAAAAAAAAAAAAGGAAGGAGAAAGCGAGCGAAAAGAGTCATACAAAAGGGTTTGAATCCAACTTACCTAGAAGCGGAAACGACGAATTTCTTGGTATCTCCTCCGATAGCATCTGCACAAATATTGTCATCGACATCATACTTGTCAGCCCGATGCTCAACTAATTTTTTTGACGCTAATGTTCTAAAATAGGGCTTACCTTTGAAAGCTGCTCCTCCCTGTTGTTGAGCGTCCAAAACATACCCCAGATCGATAGAAGTGTCAATAGGAAACACGGAATGACAATCACAAATACGTAGAAGTTAGGCTCCCGCTTGATGTTGAGCACGAATTGGAGCTGGAATTTTGCTTTTTGAAAATATTTGGTGTAGCTTTAAAAATTATTACCGATTTTCTAACTTACAAAATCATATTTGTCCCGTCCGGTCCCGCTGAAGTCGAAATACTCCATTGAGACATTCTTGAATTTCCACTCGCCATTGTCCTATAATACTTTAAATTGAGGTTTCTGGATTTTCGGCAGTTTAGAAATCTAAGACTCACGAATATGATGCCGTCAACATATTTTGTAAAAAGGGCTCCAGTCTCCTGGACCATATCCAAAGTATAAGCGTTGTTGAAGATGTCGATAGTACAGGATTGTTCGTCAAATGGGAAGTTTTTTACCTAAATGTTTGTGGCATCCAGTTGAAAGCAACGTTTATCTTGGCAGAATTTCCTCAATGATCTCCGCTAGACGGCTTTCTCTCGCTCACTCACGCTCTCTCGCTCTCTCTCTCTCTCTCTCTCTCTCTCTCTCTCTCTATCTCACTGGCACTCACTCTCTCGCTCTTTCTCTCTCGCTCTCTCTGCTCTCTCTCTATCTCACTGGCACTCCCCCGCCTTTCCCCTCCTCCCTCCCTCTCTATCTCACTGGCACTCACACTCTCGCTCTTCCTCTCTCGCTCTCTCTCTCTATCTCACTAGCACTCATTCTCTCGCTCTCTCTCTCGCTCTCTCTCTCTCTGTGGGTTTTTTATCATTTGACCATCAAAAACTCACGTCCATCACGCATCTCGTCTCCGCGTAGATTTGAAAACTCACTGCCACCGACCCGTTTGCATAGATATTCGCAGTATTTAATGGATCCGGGTATACAACTTGAAGGGTCTGACTGTAATTGTGATTTTTGGGGTTGTACGGTTTACATGTGACTTACGCATTGCTGATCCCATTCGCAGGTATCCATATACTTTTCGACTCCACATTGATCATATTAATTCCGCCGTAATTTTCGGGGTTCCAGGCAAGTCGGGGGTCTGTGTAAGCCTAAAACAAAAGGCGCTTTCCCTCATTTTTTCTCTTCTTCTCTCTCTCTCTCTCTCTGTCTCTCTCTGTCTCTCTCTCTTTGCCTCTCTCTAATCACTTACGTAATCGATTTCCATAGCCGTACTTGCCAGTTGTGATTGAGCATTCTAAACAATCTGGATTTCGGCGTCCGGCCTCCTTACCACTCCCAAGAGCTGTATAAACTCAAGCGATATCATCACGTTGAATCGTGGTATCGAATTATTCTTTGTCGCCTGATTAAAAATCGGCGACAAGTCGCTACGGTAGTTTCGGGTAATGAACAGCTCATCGTACAATTCCTGGTTTTTCTGCAGGAATCGAGCGTAATCCGCTATAATTCTTCGGTTAAACGTCGTAAGAGGTTCTTACGGTCTACGCCAAGGTCATCCCAGTTGATGGTAGAGGAGGAATTTTGTGAGTAGCTTTCAGGTATACTAAAACATAGTAAGAATCCAGTTAGTCTTATAGAATAAATCATAGTGCTGGCAAATCGATGTCTAGTCGCTCTGGGAATTCTGTGTTCACTGGAGCAAATATTCGAAGTCCACTTGACTTTTCGGGAAGGGCAAAATTGGCCTCCGACGGGTGCAAATAATGCCATTTTTTATTAGGTCCATGGTGTATCGAGATCAATGGATTTTGACTTCCTGTTCTCTTAAAAGTTTGCAAGAGGCAGCTATATGCGATCAGTTTATTTCCAAAACGAGAGAAACACCAGCAAATTTGCAATATTAATCGCTTGGAAGAAGGTGAAGATCATGAAATGGCGTGAGCATAGCCAATTCCAAAGGCGCTCGAACCATTTTCTAAACCAAAATAGTCAAAGCAAATATATTACAAGTTTACCGAGCTTCAGCTCCCTTTTTCGAGATTTTCGTTTCATCGTATGGTAATGTCACCAAAACGACACAGGCTATTGAGACGAGAAAAACATCAATTATGACAAGCCAGCCTAAATTATAAGTAGCGAGCAAGCGAGAGAGAGAGAGAGAGAGAGAGAGAGAGAGAGAGAAAGCGTGAGAGAGAGAGAGAGAAAGGGAGAAAGAGAGACACAGTGAGAGAGGGTGAGAGAGAAACGTTGAACGCGCCTTACCGAACAACGGAAAAGAGGCATTCCTCGGAATTGCATTCGACAACATTTCCACAAATATCGTCATCGACATCATACTTGTTAAGCCGATACTCAACTTAATTCAAAGCCTTATAATGTCTAAGGGGACAAACAACCTTTGACAATTGTTCCTCGTCAGTATTTGGAGTCCAAAACATTCCCCATATCGAGAGCAGTGTCAATAGGAAACACGGAATGGCAATGACAAATACGTAAAAAGTCGGCTCTCGCTGGATATCGAGGTTGTATTGGACCTAAAGGCTTGTTAATAGCTCGCATATACCCTTAATTTTCAAGGAATCATTTCTCAGAAAAACCCACAAACTCATATTTCACGTCTCCAACGCCAAAGAATTGTTCATGGAATATCGTAAGGTTTCGGAAATTCCACTCGCCATTGTCCTTAAAATCTCGAAAACTCAAAAAAAGAGGTTTTGCTACGTAGATAATTCCTTGGGTGTATTTCGTAAATTTGCTGGCCATCAGGGCGAAGGCGTCGGTGTCGTAGGCGTTGTTAAAAAAGTCGATGGTGCAGATTTGTTCGTCGAAAGGGAAGGTTCGGACCTAGAATAGTTTCCGTTTCGTAACTAATGACGTTTGCGTCTCTTTGTTTGTTGTCCCTCTCGCTAACTCTCCCTCACTCTCTCTCTCTTTCTCTCTCTCTCTCTCTCTCTCTCTCTCTCTCTCTCTTTTTCTCTCTCTCTCTGTGTTGCGTGTGCGTCGCGTATCGTCTCCTCAAAACACACGTCCATCACGCATCTGGTCTCTGCATAGATCTGTAGACTCAAGCTGATCGTCCCGTTTGAAGCAATCGTCGCCGTAGTAAATTGATCGGGGTAGATGATTTCTAACGTTTGGCTAAATTAAGTGGTTTTTAAACAAATTTAACATCCGCTTGTTGCAGAGCAAAAACGCCAAGACCCTACGCATTACTAATCCCGTTCGCCGGCACCCATATCTTGGTCCATTCAACGTTTATTGACTCGACACCTCCGAATTTTGTTGAGTTCCAGATTAGGCGGGGATCGATGTATTGCTAAAATATGTTTTAAGGCTGAAGTCAAGGTTTTTAAACTTTGCACAGCGTAGTTTATTAATACATAAATCAATCTAGCTTTGCAAGCCGTAAAAACTTACATATCCAACCTCCATACTGATGCTGGCCATTTGCGACTGAGCGTCCTAAAAATGTCAAAGATCCAGGCAGCTACAAATCGAAAATCCAGCTATTTGTACAAAACCTACAATTCCCAAAAGTTGAATATACTGCAGCGTGACGAGCAGAGAAAATGGTGGAATCTCCTGGTCTCGACCAGATCCAGAATATATTGGCGACAAATCTCGACGGTAGTTCCGGGTGTCAAATAATTCTTGGTAGAGTAATTGGGTATTGGCGAGGAAATTAGCGTACGACCCTGGGAATCATACGTTACTAAGCAAAATTTGGCGTATGCAGGAATGAAAAAACTACTATTTTTACCTACCATTAATGCCCAATTCTTCCCAATTCGTCATTTGTGCATGTGCAATAGTTAAAACATGTTTAAGGGCTAGAAAAACAAACACAAGGCCAAGCATATAAATTCTAGATTGCGGGCAATTCGTGGAAGCGGCGGAATTTGAACCGTAGCCCTCAAAAAGCGGGGGTAACCCCCGACTGGACCCCCATATTCGATTTCGCCGACTAATTCCGCGTGGTTCCGCCAATCCACTCGGGTAATTTTTTAACACCTGTCTGCGCGGAGATCACAATAATTTTGTTTTTCTAATCATTTCTTTGTAGGAACATGTCCATTTCACAACATAAAATCCAAACCTTTATTTCCAATACGACATAAACACGATAAAATTGACGATGTTTGTGGTTTGGAAGCTGAAAAAGATGAGGAAATGTAGGGAGAACGTCCAGTTCTTCAAGAATATCAACCAGTTTCTAAAGCTAGATACCTTACTGTAAACCTATTTTGGTCGAAGTGGAAATTCCATACGTGAGATAGCACATCTTGTGCAGAAGTTTTTGCTGATTCCGAATCTGTTTTCAAAAGTTGCGAAACCCCTCAGATAAAAAAGTTACAAGCGTTTTAATACCCAAAATGCCACAAATCGCTTACTTTAAAACGTTCTAAAAATTTCGTAAGATACTTTTGGGAGGATAGTAAGACGGTTTTCGGGGTAAAAAAACGTGCTCTTTCGAATGGGCTACCTCACGAACCCGTAGCTCAAAATTCGCAAAAAAAGTTTTTTTTTGGCGGATTGTCGATTTTCGAAATTTTGCAAATTTTGAGTTAACATTTTTTAGGAACGTTTTTAGGAACAATTTTTAGAAACATTTCAACGTTTAACACATTTAACAAAATATTTCGCTCCCAATTCACTTATTTTTGCAACATTTTTGCATGGACTCTTTGTATAGTATCTGTCATGGAAATATTTATTTCCAATACGACATAAATACGATAATATTAACCAGATTTGCCACTTGGAAGGAGAAAAAGAAGAAGAAATGTCGGGAAAACATCCAATACTTCAAGAAGGCCAACCCGTTGCTGAAAACATAAGTAAAAAGATCAAAAACCTTGAACCTACTGAAGTTCCCCAGTTTCCAACGATAACTTGGATATTGGTTGCTCGAAGGGAAGGGTGACGAGTACAACACATGCTATTGACACCAAGATGACGTCGATGATCACGAACCAGCCTAAAAGCAAACGATAGTAAGTGAAATTGAGAGAGAGAGACAGAGAGAGAGAGAGAGAGAGAGAGGATTCTATACCTAAAAGCGGAAATGTCGAATTCCTTGGAATCTCATCTGAAAGCATTTGCACGAATATGGTCATCGACATCATACTTGTAAGCCCGATACTCAACTGTAAATTTTGCAGTTGCTGGCTCTTCAAGCGAGTGCCAACCTTTGAAAGCTGCTCCTCCTTCGTGTTCCCGCTCCAAAACATTCCCCAGATCGATAGTAGTGTCAATAGGAAACACGGAATCACGATAACGCAGACGTAGAACCGTGGTTGTCTTCGCAAGCAGAGCGAGAACTCGAGCTTTGAGGAGGTTTTGAGGTTTTTGGGCCACCTACAACATCGTACTTCGGCAGCTTAACATTAGTGATGTAATAGGTCATCGTGACGTTGGTGAAAACCCATTCCCCATTGTCCTAAAATCGAGAGATGGGACATGGAAATGACTTACGTAGATGGTGCCTTGATCATATTTTGTGAACAGAGCACCAGTCTGGCGGACATAGTCGTAAGTATAGGCGTTGTTGAAGAAATCCAAGAGGCATACTTGTTCATCGAACGGGAACTCTTTGACCTAAATCCTCGCTGAACTCCTCCGCTATGGGCAGTAGATGAACAGTTTACCGTTGCAGTGAAAACCAACAAAGGTTCAGATCGTAATTCATCCGGAAACCAGAAAAAGCTTACATCCATCTCGCAGCTCGATTCAATGTACAAAAAAATCCCAAAAAAAAATCGACCCCCCTCTAGCGGACCGCAGAAAGCTCGGATCGGAATGATTTTCACACCATTCGAAAGCCCTTCAAACGGTGAGAAAACAAGCGCCTTTGGTTTTCCAAAAAATTTTAGCCTTCGCTCGATATTCAATGATTTCTGTAAAAAGCGTAAAACCAGCATCGTCCTGTTTGCTTTAGCAAGCAATTAACATGCCGATTTTGCATAAAATCTGCAGTTTTCATCGATTTTGGCCCTAAATTTAATGAATTAAAATTCCCATATTGAAAAACGAAAAGTGCTTGTTTTCTCGCCTTTTCGAGTGCTTTCGATAGATACCTAAATCGTCAAAATCGGACATGACTGCGGCCCGCTAGAGGGGGGTCGATTTTTTTTGGGACACCCTGTAATATTCAAAGCTAGTCACCACCGAACCATTAGAGTATATCATTGCTGTATTGAAGGCGTCTTGATATACCACTTGCATTGTTTTTCTGAACATGGACTCCTGCGTAAACAGGGCGTAATTCGGACACACGCATTGGAAATTCCGTTTGACGGTTGCCAGAGGTTGGAGCTACGGATATTAATCGAGCTGACGCCACCGAAATCCGAGGTATTCCAGACTAGCCTTGGGTCGGTGTACATCTAAAGTGTGATACTTTCAAAGCTGCCCTCCCTTTAAGGTATTACGTGACGTTATCGATTGCTATGACCACAAAAAACGCCCCGGCAGCCACTTACATATTCAATTTCCATCGCGGTGCTGATGGTTTGGGCTTGGGCGTCCTGAAAAAGGGGTTTCGAGAGGCTCTGAATAAGGCCCTATAAAATTTGCAACTTACAATTCCCAAAAGTTGGATGTACTGTATGGAAACAAGCACATCAAATTTTGGCACTGGATCATCTAAACAGAGAGGAAATCATGCCTGCTTCAGTCCTAGTCCGAAGCCCAAGCAAGCAAAGTAAGCATCACTCAAAAGCATAAGTCAAAAGCCTAAGGCTAAGCCTAAACGCTAGCCTAAGTGAAGCTGGCTCTAAGTCAAGTCTAAGGCTGTAAACATAAGCCAAATCCTAAGCCTAACCCCAAGCCGAAGGGGACGCAAAGCCTACGGTTTGACCTACCTGTCGTATTCAAACTTGATTCTCCGAATACCGGCGACAGATCGCTGCGGTATTCTCGAGCCGTAAACAATTCCGCGTACAACTTTTGAATATTCCTCGTAAACTTTCCCTGCGTCACTGAAACGCGATATTCATCTTTTTTCGAAAATTTCCGTGATACCTGGAATATCGAATAGCGGCCAGTCAATCCCCGCCAGATCGCCATAGCAAGTAATTAAGCAGCAATTTGCAATTATAACTAATTGCTCCATTAAATATGGCATTTTGACCACACGTCGTATGACCTTTTTGCCGAAAACAACTAAAACAACCCCCGGCTTTTGAGCAAATATGGCAGCCTCGCCGGCATACTCCAACTTCTGGTGACTCGAATTAACATAGTTCTGGGATAGGTAAATATTGCCCAACATACTTATTCAACTTAGCCTGGTAAATCGACAGAATCTCGAATGCCAAAATCTCGAATGACAAAATCTCGAATGATTAGAATCTCGAATGATCTGAATCTCGAATAAACAGAATCTCGAATGAACAGAATCTCGAATGATTAGAATCTCGAACGATCAGAATCCCGAATTTACAAAATCTCGAATGAACAAATCTCGAATGCCAGGATTCCCACTGATATCCTAATCTAGTTTCGTCTGGCTCGATTCAGCATCGAGTTTTTTTGTATTAGATAGAAGCTAGTAGGCTGTGAGTATGCCCTGCCGAGGGAGGCCCTTTTTGAGCATCATACTTTACAAATGATAATGAAGAACATTAGCGTTAAGTCGAAAAATTTGTTTTTTTTCGACGCAAAGGGCTCAAATTCTTGAAGTCTTTAACTTTTAGATAGTGTTGCTACAGCTATTGGTTGCCAAAACCTCCATAGAAAAACTTTGGGTTCAATTACTAGGCCGTTGGTGGAAATTTTCATCCAAACTGTGTTCTGCTAAATCGAAGTTTTGTTCGTTCGAGATTCTGATCGTTCGAGATTTTGTCATTCGAGATTCTGTCATTCGAGATTTTGTAAATTCGAGATTCTGATCGTTCGAGATTCTAATCATTCGAGATTCTGTTCATTCGAGATTCTAATCGTTCGAGATTCTGATCATTCGAGATTCTAATCATTCGAGATTTTGTCATTCGAGATTTTGTCATTCGAGATTTTGTAATTCGAGATTCTGATCGGCAAGCCTTAGCCTCTGTGAATACCACGAATTGATAATGTTTCAGGTTATTTAGGACATCACAGTATCATAAGTACCGCGCGAAAAACATATCATCATGGAAGGTACCGCGGCGAAAGCTAGCAGGCTTTAAAATCCGCAAAATCTACAGGGTTTTCCAAAAAACCCGCCCCTCGGCATTCGGCCGTCTTCTAGCGCATTGGTACCAAATTTTACCGCGATGGGGACCCATAAAAACTATGTGCAGCCAAAGTTTCTAAGCAAAATATTGTAAAACAAAAAAGTTATATCGAAATTAAGGTATATTTTGCGGATTTCACTAGGATTTTGACGGATCTGGGCCTCGAAATATTTAGCAAAAACGAAGAGGGCGCTTTTTTCCACCCGTAGAAATTTTTATGATTTACGAAAATTACGTCTAAATTGGAACTTTTGATCACTTTTTAGTATCAAAGTGGGCGGAAACCGAGCCGAAAATGACGATTTTTCGGAAAATTACTCAAAATCGGCACGCAAATTGCCATAACATAGCCAAAATTGAGTACCCGCGTTTCCCAAAAAAAACAGTTTCTAGCGATAGACTTGTTGATTTACAATATTTCGCTTAGAAAATTCGGCTACACATATTTTTATGCGGCCCCATCGCTGTTGAAAATTTGGTACCGATGCGATAGAAGACGGCCAAGTGCAGAGGGGCCAATTGAGACACCCTGTATAGCCTCGTCTTGCCGTTTGATTAAATTTGATTTGCTCCATTTCAGAGTCGCTTCAACCCGAACGCCTGGCGAGCTTCTCACCGGATTGATTCAAGGAATTATCGGAGGCGCACACAATGTGCTCTCCAATTATGTACGTGATTTTAAGAGATTTGCATGATTTTAAATAACAGCCGTAGTGGAAAACTTGAACTCACGTCACCTCATTTCAGCAATCAACTAACGTACCCTCAGCTTCCGGCTCGAGTTTCATCACCCAACCCTCAGCTGCCGGAGGCTCGGTTGCCCACGCAGCCCCCACCTTCAACACCGTAAGTTTTTGGACTTGACTGCCCCTTTAAAGCCACAATTTTAGAAAAAACCCTAATCAATCACAATTCGCATTTTCGGCTCTGTGTATAAAGCTTGAATTCCGTTATTGATTTCATATAATAAGCATTAAGTTAAGCAGAGAAATTTCAGCACCAAATCGTACTAAAACCTAAGAATTTTTAGGCAGCCAGAAGCCCGGTAGAGCAAGAAATCGCAGCTTTTGCTACGCGGCGACCGGAAGTGGTTAGGCCCGAATTTGCGACTGGGTAAGTATCGGTTTCAAGTCGCAAAATTAGACCAATTTTCCAGACCTCCTCTAACCCTCGAAGAATCAGAGATTCGCCGAACACAAGCTCTAGACGCCGCGGTAGAAGCACAACGTCAGCGAGCGGAAGATGTAAGCACAAATGAGATTACCGTATCCCGAATTTTTTAGGCGCGTCGACTTCGCGAAGAGCAATTCAAGGTGGAGCAGATGCACGAGAAGGAACGACAAGAGCAAATTAGGGTAAGGGAGAGATAAAATAAGAGAGAGAGAGAAAGAGAGAGAGAGAGAAAGAGAGAGAGAGAGCGAGAGATAAATCAAACTTTTGGTTTAGGAAGAAATGAAGAAGCGCCGTGACGAAATGATCCATCAACTTGAAGAGCTAAAGGAAGCCGAAAGACGCCAAAAAGAATTGCTGGCCGAAAAGGAGCGGTTGGCTGAAGTTAGTATAACTTTTCATACGCCAGATTAAGCATGTAAAAAACCGCTTGCCCCACGGTAAAATATTTATTGATTGCAGGAAGCCCGCGCGCTCATCGCCCAGCGAAATGAGGCCCAGGCTTCTGCCAACCATGATGGAATTACCGATGTTAATACCGCAGTCAGGTAGTAAAAAAACTTAGGAAAAATGCAATTTTCATTTTTCAGATACAAGTTGAAGCCCAGCCAGTGCGCCGCCATCAACAAGTTCACGCGGGTATTCAAAATCACCGACCCGTCCGACTGGATTCAGAGGAATTGCCAGTTTGCGAAGAGGTAGGGGGTAGAGGAGAGCTAGCAGGGATTCTTTCGGATTCACAAAAAGTGCAGACGGGGATGAACTAGCAGAGTGGATCGAAAAAATGAATTAGGGAAGATTGGTAAGCTAAGAGAGACCATTTGTCAGCCTAGAAAGTTGAGGAAAAGTGGCAAGGTGTGAGGCCATGTGCAAGCTAGGGGAGCAAGCAGAAATTGTTTAGGAAGTCCACCTAGCAGAGATCATGGAGAAAAGTTACAATAATAATCTTCTAGGTACTTCCCCCAAGCCTCGTGCACACAAATCCAAAACCTCATCGAGTCGTGCTTCGTTTTCCTGATGATGTTGTAATCAATCACATCACGCAATGAACATCAGCCAGCTCATGCAAAACATACCCGGGTAAAAACTCATTCTGACGCTCTTTTTCTTATTCGCCGTATCCCATGCATTTTTTACTGCAGTTATTCCATTCCATTTTTCCTTTGCTTCTCCCACTGTCACCTCAGCGATTTCCCCCCAAACGAAATGATCTGCTTTTGTCGTATAAGCGTGTTTTTTGCTTTTATTCATAGCAGAATGAATTTTAAATTGTGAAAGCCTTTTCCTTACGTCCAGTACGACATGAATACGATGAAATTGACAAGACCCGCCAGTTGAAAAGCGAAGAAGATGAAGAAATGGCGCGAGAAGATCCAGTTTTGGAGGAATATTAGCCAGCTCCTAAAAACTTGTTCTGTAAAACGATAGAAAGAGAGAGAGAGAGAGAGAGACAGAGAGAGAGAGAAGAGAGAGAGAAAGATAGCGTCGCCGAAACATACCCTAAACCTCCAGTTTCCAACTTTTTAGCTGATAATTTCTTATCGAAAGGTAACGTAACGAGTACGACGCATGCTATTGACACCAATATTACGTCGATGATCACGAACCAACCTAAAAATCTTTGTATAGAGGAGCGAGAAAGAGAAAGAATGCGAGAGAGAGAGAGAGAGAGAGAGAGAGAGAGAGAGAAAGAGAGAGAGAGCGAAAGATATCAGAGTTCACCGAGAAGCGGAAACGTTGCATTCCTCGGAATCTCATCAGATAACATCTGCACGAATATCGTCATCGACATCATACTTGTCAACCCGATGCTCAGCTATAATTTGCATAGTAGTTTTTGGCGGATTATCTACCTTTGATAGCTGCTCCTCTTTATTATTTCTCGTCCAAAACATTCCGCATATCGACAGTATCGTCAATAGGAAACACGGAATAACGATCACGAACACGTAGAATTTTGGTCTTCGCTTGAGACAGAGACCGAATTCGATCTAGAAAATGAGAATTGAACATAATACAAAAGCAAAAAACAGAAATGTATGCCAGGAACATAAGAATCAAAAATTTAACTGTACTTACGAGATCGAACTTGGGCAAATTATGGTTGGTGATCATATAGGTGACCGTAACATTGGTAAAAGCCCACTCGCCGTTGTCCTAAAATGGTCGAAATCATATCTGAGGACTAGGGACGCTTTACATAAGTTGTTCCCTGATCGTATTTCGTGAAAAGGGCACCGGTCTGGCGGACGAAATTAAAATTATAGGCATTGTTCCAAAAATCCAGTGGGCACATTTGTTCGTCGAATGGGAAGATGCGGACCTAAATGGATGCTAGGATGTCTTCTTATTCATATTTAATCCTAAAAACAATGTCAAAGGCTTGGCGACATTACCGAGCATTTTTTATGTGCTAGGTCAATCAAAAAAGGCAGATTAAATGACCAACGTCGATCACACAGCTCGATTCGACGTAATATTCATAGCTCGTTATCACCGACCCATTTGCATAGATCATGCCCGTGTTAAAGGTATCCTGATAGACCACTTGCATCGTTTTTCTAAATATACGCGGCATGTGATTTGGGGTGTAATTAGCACTAACGCGTTCAAAATACCATTCGAAGGTTGCCATAGATTGCTGCTACCGACGTTGATCGAGCTGACACCACCAAAATCTGAGGTATTCCACACTAGACGAGGATCCGTGTACATCTAAAGAACTTATAGCTGAAGTTCTACGCTCTCTCTTCTCTCTCTCTCTCTCTCTCTCTCTCTCTCTCTTTCTCTCTTTCACTTTTTTTGCCCCTCTCACTCTCTCCCCCTCCCGCTCGCTCTCGATCTCTCTCCCGCTCTCAGTCACACTTTCTCGCTCTCTATTTCTTCCTCTCGCTTTCTCTCACATTCTCTGACTCTCTCTTTCGCTTCTCTATCTCTCTCGCCATCTGAACGAAACACCCCATTCAACTCACATATTCAATTTCCATCGTTGTGCTGATGATTTGCGACTGGGCGTTCTAAAACGTGCATATTCCATCATTGAATATTTTCTAAAAAATGAGGAAATTACTGCAACTTACAATCTCGAGCAGTTGAACATATTGTAGCGAAATAAGAACATCAAATTTTGGTACCGGATTGTCTAGCCCAAAAAAAATTAATAAAAATCGACCGCCGTCTACCTGTTAAATTCAGTTCGGGAGCACCGAACACCGGCGATAAATCGTTGCGGTAATTCCGCGTCGTAAAGAGCTCGGTATACAATTTCTCAGCGTTTTTCACAAACTCGCCCTGCGTTTCTGAGTTGTGTAATTTTTTAGAAGATGATGTAAAAAGTTAAAATACCGTGTACGTTGAATCTGGTCCAATCTACGCCCGAATAATTGGCAGAGGAAGGGATAGGACAAAGACAAAAAATGATAATAATCAATTGGCGAGGAGAATATGACATTTATGACCTCACGGCCGTGGGCCTTTTTCGCGGGTCTAGGCCGCTCAAAAAAAGTCCGCCGATTTCAGCAAATAGGGCCTGGCCCGCCGTCGGCATACTTCAAAATATTGCCGAGTAGCTTTTTTAGCGAAACTATTCTATGGTTTAAGGTACGAGATATTTAATGGTTTTGATAGGTATTTGTCCGTCTTAGATTGCCTTTGACAATGCTTTTTGCAAAATAGAGTATCAGCTCGTAAAAAGCTATTTTTATCGCCAATATGACATAAATACGATAAAATTGACGACGTTCGCCATTTGGAAGGTGAAGAAAATGAAGAAGTGCCGGGAGAAGATCCAGTCTCGAAGGAATATCGCCCAGTTGCTGAAAAAAAAGATTTGCGCGAAGATGCTTGCTAAAATATACCTAAAGTCCGCATTATCCAAAGCCTTGGTGGAGCTTCGCTTTTCAAAAGGTAGAGTGACGAGTACGACGCATGCTATTGACACCAATATTACATCGATGATCACGAACCAACCTAAAAAGGATTTTAGAGAAAAGGGGAGAGAGAGAGAGAGTTAGAGAGAGAGAGAGAGATAGAAAGAGAGTTAGCGGGAGGGGGTGAGAGATCCTCGCCTAAAAGTGGAAATGTCGTATTCCTGGGAATCTCGTTGGAGAGCATTTCCACAAATATTGTCATCGACATCATACTTGTCAACCCGATGCTCAGCTATATCGAGAATTTTGCTATTTCATGGAACCGATACCTTTGATAGCTGTTCCTCCTTGTTATTTCTTGTCCAAAACATTCCCCATATTGAGAGCAACGTCAATAGAAAACACGGAATGACGATCACAAACACGTAGAACTTGGGCTCTCGCTTGATGTGGAGTTCAAATTGGAGCTAGAAATTTGTTTAAAAAACATGTTTAACCTACAAAATCATATTTTGGGAGCCTGACGTTTGGGACCGAGTAGAGGATAGAGATATTAGTGAAAGTCCACTCGCCATTGTCCTAAAAAATACGCAATGCTACCATCCACGGTTGCGGCTTACAAAAATCACGGCCTCATCATATTTCGTGAATAGAGCACCGGTTTGGCGTACGTAGTCCAGATTGTAGGCGTTGTTAAAGAAATCGAGTGTGCAGATTTGCTCATCGAACGGGAAGTCGCGGACCTGGATTTTGTTGGTTTTATTTAGCCTCCAAACTGCAACTTATGAATCTTCTGACAAGCACAGCTATAGCAATAAAAGATTTCATCAACGGTTTCTATTGTTTATTTGGCTTTTTGATAAAGCCAAAAGATTAAATTCTCCTACATCAATGACGCAGCGCGACTCCACGTAATATTGAAAACTCGTCACCACCGTCCCATTTGCATATATCATTCCAGTATTAAACGAATCTGGGTAAACGACTTCGAACGTTTTTCTAAGCACTACTGAAGGTAATATGCGCTACGTACGTACGCGTTCGAAATGCCGTTGGATGGTTGCCAGAGGAAATTGGCACGGATATTGATCGACTCGACGTCACCGTAATCCGAGGTATTCCAGACTAGTCTCGGGTCAAAATATTTCTAACAACAAGGAGATGGTCTCAACTGGGAATCGAATTCGGATTTGAAAATTTGCACACTTATAGAGCTCGACGAGACAAATCGATTGGTGTAACTTTCAGCTGCTGATACAATAACCACGCCGAGTTATAAGCATTTTAAGTTTTTGCATACATTTTGCAATTTTTCGGCCATAGCTTCATAGGCCTTCCCCGCCTCCCCCTCACCATGGTCTGGTGGCCTAGTGGTGTAGTAGGCGGCCTCCAGGGAATCTAACGAGGGTTCGAACCCGCTCACGATTTTTATTTTTTGCTTTTTTTGTCCGATGGTTCCTCTTTGCTTTCTGAAGACCTTGAATAGCTTTTTACGCATTATTTTAACTCCTTTGATGCGCCGACAACATCGAACTTCACCGCAAAAAATTTTCTTGCTGGGCATCGAGCCCTTGTCCGACCTATGACTACTATTTCCAAAAAAATTTCGCGGATGAAAGTTTTTGTTCGGATAACACACCATTTACCAAAATTACGTTTACTCCACGATTTTTGATATGCTTTGAATTTTCAATTTATTTTGGGACCGGCATAGTCCTTTCGGGTAAAAATCTAAATTTTTTCAAACAGATGTTTTTTAGCCATTTCGCACCAGAGAAGTTAAAATAATGCGTAAAAAGCTATTCAAGGTCTTCAGAAAGCAAAGAGGAACCATCGGACAAAAAAAGCAAAAAATAAAAATCGTGAGCGGGTTCGAACCCTCGTTAGATTCCCTGGAGGCCGCCTACTACACCACTAGGCCACCAGACCATGGTGAGGGGGAGGCGGGGAAGGCCTATGAAGCTATGGCCGAAAAATTGCAAAATGTATGCAAAAACTTAAAATGCTTATAACTCGGCGTGGTTATTGTATCAGCAGCTGAAAGTTACACCAATCGATTTGTCTCGTCGAGCTCTATAAGTGTGCAAATTTTCAAATCCGAATTCGATTCCCAGTTGAGACCATCTCCTTGTAAGTGAATTTTGTTTCGCTCTCTCTTTCTCTCTCTCTCTCTCCCTCTGTCTCGCTATCACTCTCACACTTCCGCTCTACCTACGTATTCAATTTCCAAGGTCGAACTGGCGAGTTGGGATTGAGCATCCTAAAATGGCATAAAAAATGCCCGCAAAGAATGAGACGTACGACGCCCAGCAACTGTATATACTGTAGCAGCACGAGCACATTATATTTTGGCACCGGATTATCTAAAAAAAATATACTACTATATCTGTATGCTATACTATATCCTATATCCGCCTTTAGAAAACCACAGGCCGTAATACCAGATAAAACGAAGAAATCCAGAAACCAAACCTGAGCCATTCCGTTTGGATGCGGAGAACACGGGCGACAGCTCACTACGGTAATCACGGGCAATAAATAACTCCTTGTGCAACTTTTGGACGTTCAATACAAACTCCCCGTTCTCTTCTGGAACTCAAAAATTCTATATTTTTTCGCTTTCTAGTTACCAGTCACGTCGACCAAGCTCCAGTCTATTGACGTCAAATTCGCTTTGCAATAAATAAAACAGATGCTGAAAACTAGAGAAATTTTTAGGATTCCCCGGGCCATTCCTGGCGAGAGCGCATTTGACGAATTTCCAGGGTTCAGAACAGCCCGCAAAAGTTTCTGTTTTCAGGCAAATATGGCCCAGCGGCTGCGGACCTACTTGAATTTTGCCTCGACGAGAATTGGTAAATACAAACCACAACTAGAGACATTTATTTATAAAAATGCCTAATAGGTATAAAAAAAAAAAAAAAATATATAAAAAAAAAAAAAAAAAAATTAATTATTTTTATTTTTTTTATTTTTAAATTAATTTTTTTTTATTTTAAATTTTTTATTTTAATAATTTTTTTTTTTTTTTTTTTATATATATTTTTATTTTTTTATTTATTTTTTTTTTTTTTTTTTTTATTTTAAAAAAAAATAATTTATTTTTTTTTTAAAAAATTTTTTTTATATTTTTTTTTTTTAAAAATTTTATTTTAAAAAAAATATTTTTAAAAAAAATTTTTAAAAAAAAAAATTTGAGATTTTTTTTTTTTAGTTTTTTTTTTAGATGTTTTTTTTTAAAAAAAAAAACCCTATAAAATGCATTTGGGCCGGCAGAACGTTTTGGAAAACTTTGTGGTATTGAAGAAAATAGGACGCTTGCGGAGATCATTCGAGGAAGAAGCTGTTAAAATGTCGTTTATGCAGAATGACGCATGGACATTAAAATGGTGATCTTTATCACCAATACGACATAAACACGATAAAATTGACGACATTCGCCAGTTGGAAAGCGAAGAAGATGAAGAAGTGCCGGGAGAAGATCCAGTTTCGAAGGAACACCAGCCAGTTTCTAAAAAGATTATCATGAACGATGAGAGGTATAGAAAGAGCCAGAGAGAGGTAGTGAGAGAGAAAGAGAGAGAGAGAGAGAGGCTCCACGGCATACCGTAAACCTCCAGATTCCAAGTTTTTCGTTGATTGCTGTTTTTCGAAAGGTAGGGTGACGAGTACGACGCATGCTATTGACACTAATATTACATCGATGATCACGAACCAGCCTAAAAAATAATTTTATCGGAAACGCTGGCGGGACAGGTAGATTGTCAGAGCGAGAGATCGAGTGAGAGCTTAAGGGAGAAAATAATCGACGACCTACCTAAAAGCGGAAAAGTAGTATTCCTTGGAATTTCGTTTGATAGCATTTCCACAAATATCGTCATCGACATCATACTTGTAAGCCCGATACTCAGCTTAATTAGCATATTTTCAGATTAAATTATGACTCTAACTTTTGAAAGCTGCTCCTCCTTATTATTTCCGGTCCAAAACATTCCCCATATCGACAATAGAGTTAATAGGAAACAGGGAATGACAATCACAAACACGTAGAATTTTGGCTCTCGCTTAATGTGGAGCGCGAATTGAAGCTGCAAAGCGTTTTGAAGAAACGTATTCAACTTACAAAATCATATTTCGGCAAATTTACGTTGGTGATCGAATAAAGCATGGAGATGTTGACAAAAGTCCATTCACCATTGTCCTAAGAAGCCGATTTAGTGAGAGGTCGGAGCGGTGTTTAATTTACAAAAATAGTAGCTTCGTCGTACTTAGTGAAGAGCCCGCCAGTCTGCTTGACGTAATCATAGTCGTAAGCGTTGTTGAAAAAGTCCAGGGTGCAAATTTGTTCATCGAACGGGAATTCGCGGACCTGAATGTGGGATTTAACGCAACGAGAGGCCCCCCCGGCGCCCCCCGCTCCCCCCTTTCCCTTTTTATTAAGTTTGTAAGGGTAGGAGGGGGGGGGCCGGGGGGGGTTTTTTTGAGGGAAGGGGAATTTTTCCCGGGGGGGGGGGGGGCCCCCGGCCCCCCCCGGGGGGGGGGGGGGGGAAACCAGCCAGCCACACGAAAAAAAAGGGGAGGGGGGGGGGGGGCGCCCCGCCGAAAAGAGGGAGCTGCCTCCCACGGCACGGGCAGGCAGTGCGCGCGGTCCCTACGTCCATAGGGTGTACACGTCGGGACGAGTACACGGCCCCTCCCTGAACGTGCGCTTTAAGGCCTCTCACGTCAATAACGCATCGCGATTCCACGTAATATTGAAAGCTGGTCACCACTGTCCCATTTGCATATATCATTCCCGTATTAAAGATATCGGGGTAGACGACTTGGAGCGTTTTTCTAAACCGGGATTTCGTAATCGTCGACCGCAGATAGGTGGCATGATATTATCTTTTAGTGATAAAGTTACGTACGCGTTTGACATGCCATTTGATGGTTGCCAGAGGTTGTTGGCTCGGATGTTGATCGACTCAACGCCACCATAGTCAGAGATATTCCAGACCAATCGCGGGTCAAAGAATTTCTAAATGACAACGTACTTTCACTTTCGTTCTTCGCTCTCTCTCTCTCTCTCTCTCTCTCTCTCTCTCTCTCTGTCCCTTTCTCTCTCTCTCCCTAAAGTAAAAACAACCACTCACATATTCAATTTCTATCGACGAACTCGCCAGTTGAGATTGCGCATCCTGAAAAAACCACTTTAAAAGCGTCAACAATTCTTGCTCACGATGCCTAGCAGCTGGATATACTGTAGCAAAACGAGCACGTTGTATTTCGGCACCGGGTTATCTAAAAGTTAAGAACAAGTAATCCAAATAAAACGGCTCCAAGCGCTCGGCGGCCGCTTTTAATATTCTGAGACTGGAGCCTGAAGTCATACGTGAGCGATTCTGTTTGGAGGCCCCAAAAACCGGCGACAGATCGTTGCGATATTCCCGTGAAATGAACAACTCATTATATAGAGCCTGGATATTGACGAGAAACTGGGCATCCTCCTCTAAAGGCCAAAAATCACGGTTACCCCAATTTGCCCGGCGTACCAGGCACGTCAAATAGGCTCCAGTCGATTGTCGTAAAATTCCCTTGACACGGGATCAAAATGTTGAGAGATAAAATCAAAGAAATACGGAGAATCTGATGATCCATATGTATGTCTTCAACGTGTCTGGCGCATGGGACATTTCGGAGGCATTTGGCCGACGCGTAAAACGTCTCTGTTTTCAGCAAATATGGCTGTGGCGGGGCCGGCCGATACTCGAACTTTCAATGGGCCGGCTTGGTCCCGGGCTAGGTAAGCACGGCCCTTCTTCGGAGCACAAAAAGTTTAACTGGCTTGAGCAATAAAACAAGAATTTATTACAACTAAGTTTGGGGATTTTTACAGGGCTTTTTGAAGCCTCCGGACTTGCTGTAAACGCAAAAGATTAAGCGCTCGGTGAAAATTGAAAGCTGGCTTAAAAATTTACAGGAACATGATGATGATTCGGTAGTCTGTGCTAAGAATCTTCGCTAGCTTTGCTCCGGCTCCATGTCTCTCTCTCTCCACTCTCCCTCTCTCACTCTCACTCTCTAACTTACGCTCTCTCGCTCTCGCTCTATCTCTCTCGCTCTCTCTCTCACGCTCTGTAATTCTTCTCTTTTGCTGTGCCTTTCTTTCAACTCACAATGTTCAAGTTTTATTCATTCTTTCGAAGCTACACGGATAGGGCACTAATATCGCACTTGCTGAGGGTACCTTCACAAATTACATAAAAAATGCAGTAATCGATATACTCGCTGAGTTGGGGGAGCATTATTCCGGGATCACGACTATATATTTGACAAATATGAGAAGCTGAATTGATGCTAACCCCAATGGAAACAAACACACCGCGACTAAATGGACCCGAGTTGATTTGCGCGCGCGTGGGGCGGGGTACGGTAGAAAGGGCACTGGATAGAAATGACAACAAAGAAAATCACACGCCAACCAAAAAAAACGTAAAATCGAATTGTGTACAGTTTTGTGCAGAAATATGGAAGTAAAGAGAAGATAGGAAAGTGAGGAGGGATTTGGTCAAAAATTTGGATTTTTCAGGCAAAAAGTAATATGAAAATGGTTTCTTAATAGAGTTACCAGTTTAGCGAGTATATTTTTAGGTTTAATAGCTTTTCTAGAGGATTAGAATGCTCAGAAAAATTTCCTCTTGCACGAGAGCATGGTTTTGCATTTTGGGCAAAAGTGCTGGACGTCCTTGCAGGAGTCGAGGCAGAACGGGACGAAGGCCAGGGGGAAGAACGCGACCAGGGTGATCAGCACCAGAATCCACGTGAACGTGCCGGTGACAAAGTTTTGGCGGGTGGTGATGGGCATCTGAAAAGATCGGGGTTAATTTGTGTTTTGAAGGCTTCGTTAATCTTTTTTTGGCACTGGCATCTCACGATTTTTGTTTTAGACGAAGGGTGCCTGCAAGCAAAAATATAACATAAAGAAATCTTATTTTTTTGGCCTCTAGCATCTTGTTTTCCTAAATGAACTCTGAACTCGAGAGATATTTGCTAGCTTGCAGCTTTATGAATTTTTTAAACAGTTTCGAAAGATCTCTGCTAGCTTGCCTTTTTCTCGCTTTTCTCCAAAAGCCCCCCTCCCCTTTCCGATCTAGCTGTAAACTTGCCTTTTGCGAATTTTTTCAAACCGATCGCTCAAAGATCTTTGCTCGTTTGCCAGCAGGAGAAAAATAGCTTTTTTTTGTAGTTTTTGTAAGATCTCTTATTTTCAATTCTCACCTGGCACTTTGGACAGAACGTCTGGTACGGCGCTGACGTGTCGGCTTGTTTGACCGTATGCACGATGATTACTGTATTCGGGGCGGCCTGTTGGGGATGGACAAATGAGGAGGGTTGGGCGGATAGCGGGACAAACGGTGCGGGTCCGACCTAAAATGAGACGATGGTTACATGACTATTAATGTTCCGGCAGGATCAAGCTAGACTAATAAGTTAAGCTCGGTTAACTTACCCTAATCCCTTCTCGCTTCTCATTTCGTTCATTATCCGCTATCTCCTTTTTCATCTCATTTTCATAGGGAGGCGGTGGTCGGGGTGGGGAGTATGAGGGAGGTGGGGATTCGCTTGACATCTGGAAAAAGACAAAAAATTAATATAATTTAAAGAAAGAGCGAGAGAGAGAGAGAGAGAGAGAGAGAGCGAGAGAGAAAAGAACCTAAATTCAACAAAATTCGAAATGACGAAACGCAACCCTGGTCAACGAACCAACCGAACAAGACGTCAAAAAGGGGGGTGGGTGAAATTCGAAGCCGGGATGGTGTGACCCGAGAGCATTTTAGGGAGGGAACGTGGGGAAAGCACGGGCAAAAACCGCAAAAAATACTGGCATGGTAGGATAGAGGAAAAATAGTGGCGTTCTAGATGGTGCAAACAATGAAATCAAAATTCTTGATTCCAAAATTGTCAAAAAAATATGAAAACATATATCAACAGCGGTGTTAATTAGGTTTAGGTTTAGGTTTGGGCTTACGTTGAGGCTTGGGCTTAGGCTTCGCTTAGGAGGATATAGAAAGTTCCGAAGACAAATCGGCCGACCGAATTGACACGCCGGGGATGCGACGACCCCCTCGGGAGGACACCGAACCACAACAACCTACTCAAATTTCACCCCCGGCGTCGAACAATGGGCCAACGATCCCACCAAGTGAACCTCTGGCCCCGGAAGTGAGGGAAAATCGAAAGAGCGTAAGAACAGAAGTATGAAGGCGTCGAAACATGCCTAATTCACAAATCGCGGCCCGGAAATCTCGCGGAATTGGAAAATTTTTCAGGGCTGGCAATTAGGAGGGAGGTGGCCGCCAATTTCCGGCTCTTATCTCTGTTTTGGATGAGTCATTGGGGATGAAAGAGGAAAGTGCCTGAAGGGAATTCGAAATTTTAGCGTTAAATTTCGTTTTTGGCAGAATTTTTCCAAAGTTTCCAAAACTTGGGAAATTGAAAATCATGATTTGCAAAAACTGATAGCTCTATGAAAAAATTTGGAAACCAAAAATCAGCCTTTTTTCTTCAAAAAAAAATAATAAAGGACTGTCTATTATTGTAGAGCCGATCGAATAGCGGTTGCGGTAACCGGAAACTACACAAAGCACCAAATTCCGGCGCCAAAAATGTTAGAAACGCGAAAACGAAAATATTTTCCGGGGACATCTCTCAACAAGCCGAAAACCGCAAGCTGACGTAGGAAATTTGCGGAAATTATAGTCTACTGTAGGTCTGGCCTTACCATATCAGAAAATTCCACCAGATTCCCAATTTCCGGCCCCAAAATCATACGCGGAACGCGGAAATCGCATGCCCTCCGGGGTGTGGCCCACCCACCACTTTTTGTTGGACCCCGATCAGCCCATCGGTCGCGCGACAATTAAGCTGGATGGCAAATAGTGTGCGAGCGGCGGGAATCGAGGAAAATTGGGGGCGGAAAAGGGTTCTTGATGCCATAAGAGGTTCAAAACTAAGCTAAATACGAACTAAGCATTTAAGCATATCCTTAAAGTTTTTAAAAAAGAGAAAAAGAGGCCAGAAAAAGCCGCGAAGCTCCCGTTACTGTTCAAAACATATCTGAATTGTGGCGTTTAGCACGAGGCCCGGTACAAAAAAAAAGCCTAGACACAAGAATTTCATCTTTTTCTAGTGTCTTAAAATGATCCAAAATTGAGGAAAAGGCATTCTCCAAAGACTGAATTCTTTCGGATATAGCGACAAACCCTAAAAGCCTCATTTCCGTTTCCAAAATAGCCCTCTTGATGCGTGAGCTACCGCACTCCCGAACCCCCAATTTTAATTGCCAAAAACCGCGTGACTCACTCAGAATCAACTGGAAAAACTGACATATGACACCAAAAATTCTCGTTTGTTTGTGGCCATAAAAGCCGATTTGTGGGTTGGGAAATGGGCGCTCGAGTTGGCTCGTAAACCTATTGCCCAATTTTATGCTGATCCGCGTGGTTGTGGGGCAGGGAGGCGCCGTTTAGGGAATCGTGGTTTTTCGGGTTTTCCATGAAAAAGTCTTGCGTTTCAGCAATTTTTCATAGGTTTTAAGGAATAATATTTTAAAGGGGTTTGGTCGTGAAAAAATGACGAGCCATGAAGCCGCTTTTCCGTTTTTTTTTGCAAATTGAATCAGGTGCGGGGAGACAAAACTTTGAGGCCAAAAATGGGATTTTTTTGCGGGGTGACGGCAACCGGAAATGCAATAAAAGACATATGAACGAAGGATTGAGCTATTCTACCGCTAAAATTAGAATAACCGCAATTTTTCGATAAGAACGACACTGCACGGCACGATTTTGGAGGAAACTCCGCCTGTCACACTCCCCTTTAAAAATAGGCAAAGCTCCCGCAAAGGTGGATTGCCCTTTGCGCCATTAATGCGCTAATGTATTCCATTTCCTTTCTTCCCAGGCCCTTTAAAGGGGCGGCTAACGATGGTTAACGATGCCGATAATAACGAGGAACAAGAGGGCAATGCATTGGGGGAAGGGAAACAATAGCCATTTGGATGGCCGGCCCGCACTCGTCTCGATCGCCACGCCCCGAACGGTCAGCCAACAAGACGAGAGCCGACAGACGGACGAACGGCGCTACAGACAGAAGGACAGACAAACCACAATGAACCGGGCCAGCTGCCGGGAATCCGCGATTTGCGGCCAGCTGTTTTCAGGGAACTGGTCTTTGCAAAAACCCGGCTTGTCCGAAATTTATGGAATTTGTAAAAAAAGTTTGCAAGAACAGTGCGAGCGAGAGAAAAAGAGAGAGAGCGAGAGAGAGAGAGAAGAGAGGGAGGGAGGGAGGGAGAGAGAGATAGAGGGAGCGAGGGAGAGAGATGGAGAGAAAGCACCGGAGAGAGACAAAACAAGAGAAAACGAGCTTGAAATCTATTGAGCTAGCCCTAGAAATGGCGAGAGGTAGTGTGTAAAAACGAGTTAGATAAGAAGGAATGCGATAGACAACTACCGAAAAAAAGTGGAGGAATAAAGTGTTAAAAAAGAGGGCGCGAGATCAAGAGAAAAGAAAAAAGTGAGATAATGAGCACGAACAAAAGCTTATGATCATAATTTTTACTTTTATTTTAAACATTTTTAAAAAAAAGCCACTAATAC